AGTGAGCATTCTGAATTTGTATCTTTTGAGATATTTGTTCAGAGCTCTCAAATCTAGTATAGGCCGAATTCCGTTCCCTCCCCGTTTGGGAACGAGGACATACTTGGAATAAAAGCCGCTCTGACTCTGTTCGGCGGGTATTATCGATAGCCTTCTTTCTAGTAGCGAGAAAATCTCTTGCCCTAGAATATGGGCCGACTCTCCCCGGGCCTGTGAATACAGAATGCCCGAGAAGTGAGGGGGGGGGGGGGTGACAGCGAATTGGAGCCTGTAGCCCCGTGTTACTGTCTTGAAAACCCAAGCAGAATCTGTGAGCATCCTCCACTTTTCGCTTCTCAAAGCGAGCGGAGATGTCACAGCTCTGTCGTCTGCCCTCAGTACCTCTATTTGTTGTGTTATGGGGCCCTCTAGTGTCTGAACACGGTGGTACCACTACCCCAGGTTGACAACTCCGGTGGTGCCTTCACAATCCCGTCTATTGTCCGCCTTTGAGGCCGTAGCCGCTCTCAAAAGAGGGGCAGACGACAGATTGTTTATTGTTTTTATTTTCATTTTTATTGACTGCGCCCTTGGCTTCAAGCCTGGAAACGACAGTGGAAAATTATTTATTCTGAAACAACAATGATGACATGTGTTTGTGTGACTTAAACAGGCAGCGGAACTTGCTGTCTTCGATGTTAAATCCATTTCCCTGATGGCGCGAACTTGAGGATGACGTTCTGGCATCACTCGAGGCGGCGGTAAGATGGGGGCATGGTGGCACCCCGAAAACACATGAGCATCTAACACTGGAACGTGCTCTGGAGCTGGGGAACAGGGAACTTCCAGCTCCTTCATCGAGGAGAGGAGAGGAGGCTGTCAGGCCGCCCGCTTCTTCTTCCTCGCCTGGTGGCTGAAAACCTGGGTCGGCTGCGTCTGAGCGGCAGCTGCCGGAACCGGAGATTTTCTTGGCCAGCTCCCCCTTGCCTCGTGCCTGGGCTGGGCCCCGGGACGGGCTGCGGTCTCTGCTGCTTCGGTATCTTGAACCGGGCAGGACGTGAGACAGCTTGAGTGAAGGCCTGCTGCGGGACCATTAAAGGTGGCGGCTGGACCCTTCGGGGGAGACAGAGCTGGAGAGCCTCTTCTCCCTTCCTTTTTGACTCGCATCTCAGCTGCATTGAAGCTAGAGCGGAGCCAAATATGCCCTCGGGAACAATAGGCATGTCCAGAACATCCTCTTTTTCCCGGTCTGGAAGGTTCGTCAGGTTGAGCCACCTGGCTCTCTCCTGTACCACCATCATTCCCAGTGCTTTGCCCGTGGCTTGGACTGCACAGCGCTGCACACGGAGGCAAATGTCCGTGATCGCTGCGACCTCGTCCCACACGGCAGGCTCAGGTTTGCTCGACATGTCTTCGCAGAGCTCCGCCTGGTAGGCGGTCAGCAGCGAGGAGACGTTGAGTGCCCTGGCGGACAAAGCTGCGGCTTTATAGGCCCGTTCGGTCATCGCTGACTGGAACCGGTCTGCCTTTGCCAGTAGCGTGGGGTTCCTGCTCGGTGTCGAAGCCAGCCTCGGTTGGAGGTGGGCTGCCACCAGCGGTTCCATGGGCGGCGTGCGGAGCAGGCCGAGCCTCTCCATACCGTCACAGTCCAGGGAGGAGGCACCCTGGATTGGGGCCTTGTTGCTAAAGGGGCGGTCTCTCCACGAGACCGACACCTCGTCCAGCATCTCCGGAAAGACTGGAAGGAGCTGCCTCTTCGTCCTCGCTGCTTGGGGCAAGTTCTTCCCCTCGTAGCGAGATCTGGAGGTCTCCTTGGCCACTTCAGGCCATGGGATGCCCAGCCTGGACGCAGCGCGTTGACACACGGCCTGCAAGTCCATACTTAGGACGGGCGAAGCTGGTGTGCTCTCGCCCGGGGGAGCGGACATCGCTCCCGGCTTTGCAGCCTGAGCCAATGAAACGAAGATGTCATCCTCATCCGAGTCAGACAGGAGGAACTCAGAGGTATCCTCTTCGTCCTCCATATAGTCCAACTCCAGGACATCCTCCGCGGGTGGAACCATGGTGAGGTCCAGTTGGGAGCCCCAGCTTGACACAGCGCGGGGCTCCGCTCTCGCGGCTCCTGCCACCACCGGGTCCCAGTCTGACACAGCGCGGGGCTCAATCTCTGCGGCGGACGCCACCATGTCTTGATTGCCGGCCGGCGAATCAGCGGACATGAGGGGGTCCAGTCTCGACAAGCTAGCTTGGCGTGCTAACCGTCGGCGGAGGCTCTTAATGGTGAAGCGGGTACAATGCCCGCACGAGCCGGGGTTATCGATAGCCTCCCGGGTATGGGGGTTATTCCATCCATCCATCTTCTCCCGCTTATCCGTGGTCGGGTCGCGGGGGTAGCAGTTCCAGCAGAGAGCCCCAAACTTTATTTTCCCTGGCGACATCAACCAGCTCTGACTGGGGGATCCCAAGGCGCTCCCAGGCCAGCGAAGAGATATAATCCCTCCACCTGGTCCTAGGTCTACCCCTTGGTCTCTTCCCAGCTGGACGTGCCTGGAACACCTCCCTAGGGTGCCCGAACCACCTCAACTGGCTCCTTTCGACGCGAAGGAGGAGCGGCTCAACTCTGAGTCCCTCCCTGATGACCGAACTTCTCACCTTATCCCTAAGGGAGACACCAGCCACCCTGCGGAGAAAACCCCTCTCGGCCGCTTGTATCCGCGATCTCGTTCTTTCGGTCATGACCCATCCTTCATGACCATAGGTGAGGGTAGGAACGAAAATGGCCCGGTAGACAGAGAGCTTTGCCTTCTGGCTCAGCTCCCTTTTCGTCACAACGGTGCGGTAAAGCGACTGCAGTACCGCTCCCGCTGCTCCGATTCTCCGGCCCATCTCACGCTCCATTGTTCCCTCACTCGAGAACAAGACCCCGAGATACTTGAACTCCTTCACTTGGGGTAAGGACTCATTCCCTACTTGAAGTGGACAGTCCATCGGTTTCCTGCTGAGAACCATGGCCTCAGATTTGGAGGTGCTGATCCTCATCCCAGCCGCTTCACACTCGGTTGCGAACCGATCCAGTGAGTGCTGAAGGTCGCAGACCGATGAAGCCATTAGAACCACATCATCTGCAAAAAGCAGTGGTGCAATCCTTAGTCCACCGAACTGCAGACCCCCTCCCCCATGACTACGCCTCGAAATCCGATCCATGTATATTACAAACAGGATTGGTGACAAAGCGCAGCCCTGGCGGAGGCCAACCCTCACCGGAAATGGGTCCGACTTACTGCCGAGGACCCGGACACAGCTCTCGCTTTGGGAGTACAGAGATTGGATGGCCCTGAGTAGAGACCCCCTCACCCCATACTCCCGCAGCACCTCCCACAGTAACTCCCTGGGAACTCGGTCATACGCCTTCTCCAAGTCTACAAAACACATGTAGACCGGATAAGCGTACTCCCAGGCCCCCTCCAGGATCCTTGCGAGAGTAAAAAGCTGATCCGTCGTTCCACGACCAGGACGGAATCCGCATTGTTCCTCCTCAATCTGAGGTTCGACAATCGGCCTGACCCTCCTTTCGAGTACCTTAGAGTAAACTTTCCCGGGGAGGCTGAGTAGTGTGATGCCTCTGTAATTGGCACACACCCTCTGATCCCCCTTTTTAAAAAGGGGAACCACCACCCCGGTCTGCCACTCCTTCGGTACTGTTTCCGACTTCCACGCAACGTTGATGAGACGTGTCAACCATGACAGTCCCTCAACACCCAGAGCCTTCAGCATTTCCGGGCGAATCTCATCCACCCCCGGGGCTTTGCCACTATGGAGTTGTTTGACGACCTCAGTGACCTCCCCCCGGGAGATTGGTGTTGATCCCCCGTCATACTCCAGCTCCATACCCCAAGTACGTTTTTTATTTTAATGGTACTATTAATGTGGTAGTCATATTTGCGGCACATCTATGATAATAATTGGCTTTCAAGTGTTGTACGTTACGTGAATATTGTTGCTAGGCAACTGACAACAAAATGGGTTTCTTTTTTTCTTATTTCATTGTTTAGGAATAGGGAAATATACAGTTTTCTTCATGTCATTTTTAATGTAAGATCATATGTTGCCCTCACTACATTTGCTTCAGAGAAATGCACAATAAATTGTGTAACATGAACTGTAGCCTACCTATATTTATTGCCTACTTTTTCTACAGAACCTGCTTAGGCGTCATATCTTGGAGAGATTGCAAAGCAAGATGCAATACGTGGTCAGCCGTACTGACGTCGACCTCGACTATCTGGATTTCATGTGTACCCATGAATTAATACTCATTGACACATTGGCAGAGCAGATAGAATTGCCAGTGAATATAGTAAATGCCCTTAGAGAACTGTGTAACCTGGTTAGACGTCAGGTGGGAAATGAGCAACATATTCCATCTGTTGAGATACAGGCAGTGCAAGGGGGCGACCCAAATTCCTCATTCAACAGGACAAGTTACAGGCCTTGATAGACACCCAGTTGCCCATACCTTGCGTAGCCAAACTGCTGGGAGTCAGTGAAGTTACAGTATTCCGTCGAATGGCGGAATTTCTGTGTCAGGGTACAATGTCAGACCAGGAGCTTGACATGTTAGTTTCTGAAATCAAAGCTGAGATGCCCCAGATTGGCTACAGGTTAGTCATGGGAAGACTAAGGTCCTTAGGCCACAGGGTACAGTGGAGCAGAATGAAGGCAGCTACGCACAGAGTAGATGCAGCTGGGATTCTTGCTCGTTTGACACAGTTAGGCTGTGTTGTGAGGAGAACCTACTCTGTAAGGGCACCCCTTTCTCTTGTGCATGTGGATACTAACCACAAACTCATAAGGTACATTTTTTTTTTTTTAAGTTGTAAAATAAATGCAGAGCAAACATACATAGCCTACACTAAAAAAAAAATCCTCCTAAACAGGTATAACATAGTCATTTTTGGGGGCATTGATGGCTTCTCCAGAAAGGTACCGTAATTTTCGGACTATAAGCCGCGCCTTTTTTCCCATTTTTCGACCCTGCGGTTTATATAACGGTGCGGCTAATCTATGGATTTTTACAGCTAACGGCCACTAGGGAACCTCCTAAATCTATGGATTTTACAGGTTACAGTCCACCACCTTTAACACTATGGGCTCTATGACCGGTCCGCGCCCGCCACCTTTAAGCGGCGGGCTCCAGCAGGAAAAGCTGGAGGCCGGAAAAGAGTGAGACAGGTAGCGCGCCAAAGTAAAAGTGGAACCGAGAGTGGTACGAGAGACAGAACGAGAGCAAGACAGACAGACATTACGAGAGCGAGACAGTTTGTGCAAAGGAAGTTTTCATGCACAAACCCTGCCGGTACGTGCGCTGGGAGCGCACCGTTTAAGTTTGAAAGTTGAAAAGTTTGTGTGTCTGAAACGCTATGTGATACAGTACAGTTTACACAGCACAGTACATGTTCTGTAGCTACTATTGCACTAAATGGTAACACTTGAATACGTTATGCAAATATGCAACTTGTTTGTTGAAATGTTAATAAATGGGAGCTTCCTCAAACAGCCATCTCTTTCCCGACAATCCCCTCTGTGCACGAACCCTTACATATGGTAATTAAACATTAAAACACCTGCGGCTTATCGTCCAGTGCGGCTTATATATGTACACATCATTCAATTTAGCTGCTGCGGCTTATATGCAGGTGCGCTTTATAGTCCGAAAATTACGGTACTTAGGATAAAATAATATATGTGTGACAGTTATCACAATGATTTTTTCATATAACACTATCAAATGCAGCAGTTTCAATGACTTACACTCAGGGTTAAAACAAGGCTGATATTTCCTATATTTAATTATTATATTTTTGTCCAGATCATGTACCTGGAACCTGCCAACCAGTGCTTGAATTGGAATGAAAAAGGTGCCAGTACTCTAAAATCAGCAACTTTTTCAAGTCAATTTTATATATACAGCCCACAAACAAGAATTTGGCTACTATAATGCTGGTGGGTTTGTCTCTTTACTACTGTATATTTTAGAAAGGTTCACTGTACTTAACATTTTTTATGATAGGCAGCGGATATGGCTAAAGCTCAGTAAGGTCAATATTAACTGAAAATATAGCAATCAAAGTCTAGATCTTCTGCTGAAGACACATGAAGCAGAGACCTTTCAGGTGAGAGCCCCTCTGGTGGTGTTCAACATTAATGACAAGGAAACAAAGCTCTGGTCAGAAGCATTTTTTATAAAAAGCTTTAACAAAATTAAGTATTTCTGTACATTTTGAATGCAATCTAACTTTCCAACTCAGAAAACGAAAAACGAAAAAGTGCCAAAAGTCTTCTCACATGGCTGAGCTGCTTTGCAATATACTTCACCACTGAAGAATACAAATATGTATAAAGTAAACTATGATGCAATCTAACTTTCCAACTCAGAAAAATGATAAAGAGCATGAACAAAGAACATGTAAAAACAAATGCAAAATTTGCACAATCTAAAATGAGAAACTGTAACTGCAAGTAACAAAGTCTGAGCCATGGTAAAGAGTTACATTGAACACCAAGCTGATCAGATAACTCCCTGGTTGGTCTGAAGTCCTTCTATCTCCAGGATCTGTACAAATCGGCACATTATGCCAAAAGTCTTCTCACTGGGTGAGCTGCTTTGCAATATACTTCACATTGTTAGAAAAGGCTCCAGAAGGCCTTGGGGACATCAGTATCAGGGGCTGGAGCTGGACAGGCTCTTTCATCAGCACTTCTCCTTCCCTTTGCCAGCCAGGACCTCACATACTGTTCCGGATTGAACTGTCCTAGTGATAGTCCATTACATTTAATGAAAACCAGGCTGGACAGTCGGCTGACAGAGAGAGCATTCCTTTTTGCAGTAAGGATATCGTTCATGCAGCTGAATGCCCGCTCACACTCACTAGTGGAGACAGCGATGGTTCGGACTGCTTTCAGTAGAGGCTCCATGGCAGCAGGTGTACGGGATGCCCTGGTTTCCTTGTATTCGCGAAAGCCCTGAACAGTCTCTCTTCTGTCCACTTTCAGCACTTCGCACAAACGTAGCACCTCTACGTCCCCATACTGTACGTCTAACTCCTCTTCAGGCCAACTTCCAGGATGGATAACTTTCATGTCCTGGATTAGCTGATTGTCCCGGGCCTCCCGGCCATGTAATGGGATTTCTCTTGTGCTGACATGAGAGGAGGTTGTGGAAGTCATTCTGTGTCTCAGATTCTCTACCATACTGCGGAAAAACTGACCTGCATGAATCTGTACAAGCCTGCCATTCTCACGCAGGGCAACACCCTTGAAGGACTTCTCAGCTAGAGCTGTATGAACTGTAGTCATGTGTGGGCCAGGCATGGTGACCATGGATTCAAAAACTCGTATTTCTCGAGTTAAGAGCCTATCTGCTGTAGGCAGTGTCATCTCTCTTTTTTGGAGTTGCCGAGAGAGGTCGCTGAGCTCTGTGAGCGCATCGTACATCAGTCCCACATTGCTGACAAACGTTGCAGATGTGAGCACATCATCCAGGCCCTTGTACTTTGCTCTGTCTCTGGAATCCCTGCTCGTGTCGTTTGCAGCATTTGTGAAGTGATCATGAAGCACTCGGTAGTTTTCCCAGACTGCTCTGACGCTCCTTTCACTTGAAGCCACCCAGCGGATGGACAAAACACGCCCTATCACCAGGAGACGCTGTCCGACTGCTTGCGCACACTGTGCTAACTGCCTCTGATTTTTGGGGGAGGCATGGAACAAGGAATAGAGTTTGTCAAAAAAGATCTGGAAATGATTGAGCCCTGAGACCTCCTTGACCACATCCCCAACTGCCAGCTCTAGACGATGATTGGAGCAGTGCCACACAAACAGGCTTGGGAATTTACTACACAACTGGGTAGCAACGCCTGTTCTCTTCCCTAGCATGACTGAAGCCCCATCACATGCAAAAGAAACGAAACACTGACCTAAAAAGTCCTCGTTAAAATCTCTTCCAAGACACTCCATTAACGCCTTTGTGATGTCATCAGCCGTTGTTCCATCCAACTCGATCAGCTCCCAAAAAAACGTTTCGGGCTCAGCATCAGCTAATGCTGAGCGTAGACACACAACAAGCACCGTTTTACCACTAATAGTGGTAGATTCATCGACCAAAACACAGAGTTTTCTTTGGTTTTCTGTAATGTCTTTTGCCATTTTTTTCTTCAGCTCATGAGCTATGTGGTCGATGATTTCGCCACAGGTTTTATTGGAGTGCAAAACCCTGCCCACGTTCAGCCCATTCAGTTTCTGTACATTCAAATCAATTGGCATGTCTGTGAATGGCCGGCTATGTTTGCCAATTTTATATGCCGTTTGAAAAACTCTGATAGTGGTGTCTAATTCAGATTTATGCATAGACTGCACTTGATGTTGAATAGTTTCACGTGAAGCAGATGTAAGGATGTCAGCAGCTTTTACATGGGCTTGTGATTCTTTATGTTCTTTGATTTTTTTTTCTCAGGCTAGCTTGTTGTTTGCCCTTGTCAACACCGAAATGAGACACTGCACACTCACCCCATTGACAGTTTCAGTCCTTGTCCAGTGTGTATTCCCAAAGATTTGACATCTCTGCATATCCGACATCCTAGCTTCTTATCTTTAAGAAGGAGCCATGCATTGGTCTTGCAAAAATATTGCACCTGGTCCGTTGTCCAGCAGTCAGGTGCATCGCTTTGCCCGGTGTTGGTGGTGGCAGTTGCGCCAGCAGCAGCTAACTTTAGAGGCTCTGGAGGAGGCGGCGGAGCTAGTGCTAATGCTAATGCACTAGAACTTGGAGCAGGAGGATCAATCAGGAGAAAGCTCCCCATCAGACACAATTTCCAACACAGGCACAGCATTCTCTGTATTTGAAGTTTCTTCCGGCGACAACCGCTGTCTTTTTGCACTTTTATTAATCCATGCTAACATTTTAGAAATGCTAATTTGTGACGTGACTTGCTTTCCTTCTCTCGGGGGCGTGCCTGCTCTGTTCTATCACTCTACATAGCCACCCACTGGGTGGGAGTTGCACTGCATAAACACAACACACGTGCATCTAGGTATGTAAATTGTAAAGCATTAAAACATGGTTTTACTAACAGTTTTCAGTATGTTGTTACTTCGGCATTATTATTATTATTATTTTGAAACGTGTATTACTATTAAATCACGGTCAAATAGGTTAATTTTGACATAGTCGTTTCCACCACAGTATTTACATGGAGAAGATAAGCCCCGCCCCCTCTCCAGCACGTTCTGTTTGAATGACAGGAGTAAACAGCTGACAGCCGCTGTGAAACTCCAGCGGTTAGAGCGATGAGAATGTCCGTTCGGCACCTCATGACGCATCTACTGAGTACCGGGCGGCTGTATATATATATATGGATGTATAATAAGAACGGCGGGAGAGTGTTGAGTACTGGCACGGTGCATGAGTACCGGAGTACCGCCAGCATGCCGGTACTGAGCAAGAAGTGCCGGTACTCCATGGGTCAGAACCAGAAGTGCCGGTACTGCGTACCGGTGAGTACCGGCCCAATTCCAGCACTGCTGCCAACAATAATAAGGCCTCTACTGGCTTCACCTTTTTCCTGACCTCTTGTGAGAGGAATGGTTTGCCCTCAAGGTATGTACAAGAGGCCGTGCAGTCTGATATGCATCACATGCACATTATCAGAACTATCATTATATACCTGTATAACTTTTTCACATATAGGCTACTCTGTATCGCAGGGTCAGATGTGATCAAGGTGTGGAGAATGTCGACATTGCTCGTTTCATGTTCACTGTGCGAGGAACTGACCGGGCAAGTTTTATTTCTGGAAAAAGTGTCCACAACCAGAGGTAAAAATAATCAAATATTTAGCAAGGTCACATTAACCTTGAGTCAGCATTGACAGTCATTCATTTTTCTGTGTATGTATGCAGTTGTTTTTGACAATTTTTCCACGACAGAATCGAACGGCTTTGGCGTGATGTGTGGACTGCAGTAACTTCCACATATTATGATGTCCTGCACACTCTTGAAGAAGAGGGACTACTGGACATCTCAAACACGTTGCACATCTTCCTGGTGCACTTTGTGTTCCTACCCCGTCTCCGCAGCGACCTTCACACCTTCACTGAGGGCTGGAACCATCACCCACTCCGCACCGAGGGAAACATGACCCCTCAGCAGTTGTGGCAGTTGGGCCTGCTGCAAAACAGCACGGATGAGGCTGAGAATGTTGAGGTGCACACTTACTTTTGTACAATTATCTCTGTTGAACATACATTGATTCAAGCTGTACATTCTTGAATATTGCACTGTAAAATGTATGCTTTATTTAAACTGCTATTTGAATCCTAGGATCTGCAAGAACTTGACATAAATTGGGAGAGTGCCCTTTACTGTGCTGAGTCCCTACAAGAGTCTGGGCTTGTTGTTCCAGAATTTCCCACGCCCATAAATGAGCAAGATATGGCAGACCTTCAAGCTGCTGTGGACCCTACCGACCCATCCGACTCCCATGGTCGAGACATTTACTGTCGTTGTCTTCAAATCTTCCAGTGAGCAACTGTCATGTTGATAAGTCTGAGCACCACCTGCTGTGCCATATACATGTAGACATATGAAAAAGACCAAGTCAAAGTTTCAAAAAAACTTTTATTTAGAACAAATGTTTTCTTCCTGTTTTAAATGTTTTTCATCTGTGGCAGTCTTAAAAACTAAAAGTTAAAACTTTTAAAGTGAACTAAACCAGCCACAACAGTTGCATGAATAACTTATTCATTCTACACCAGTGAGAATTCTTGTCCCAGATGGAACGCCTCCACCAGGACTACTTTGAAATCGGCATATGATCTCATGTGTTGGACAGGGAAGGTGATGGTTCTACTGCAAGCTGCAACAGATGGATAACATATGCTGTGTTCCCCAAAATGTGACTGGCAGTGATGATTGAACTTAACATTCACTTTGAAACGTCTCTTCTCTTCCTGCAGGACAGGAACATGGCCTTGCCCGGTTATCCACTGAAGAAATGCTCTTGGAGACAATGAGGGAAGTGCAGCATTCTCCATCCCTGAATCAGTTTTGTCTGAAATTAGAGGCAATAAAGATAACTAACATTTTAAGATGACATTTTCAGGCACAACTTTTGTACTACAGATGATATATATTTTAAGAGGAAGAGATATTGTAAATGTGTTATTTATTTGATTTTATGAACCAATAAAGATGGTTACATTTCAGTCACAGAACAGCAAATTATTTTACCTTGCTCCATTTCCTGGAGGAAATCCTGCAGATGATTCATTAAAGTCACCTCCACCTGTTCCTTGTTTGAGCCTCTCTCACTGAATTCTGCTTGGCACACAGATATGATGAAGTCTGCATCAGCCTGTCAAATGAAAGCAGAGCAACCATTAGCACAATCCAGTTTTCAGTGTATATATAAAAACAATCTCATCGCCATACCAGAACCTCTTGAGAAAGGCTAAATGTCTATAGTACCATTGGACAGATTCATGGTTTTGATATTGTTTTATATGGTGTAATCCATTTGGACCTTATAATAGTTGTTAAACGCTGTGATATACTGTACATTGTTACTGAGATCCCTTGGCCTTTACTTTTTCCATCAATCATGGGCACCTAAGATGTGTAAGAATGTAGACTACATGGGAGCAGTAACCAGTCATTTATGTTGTACCTTTGTATCTTTTAGAGACTGAGGGTTCATTGCCTTTTTTGTATAATAGTTTTAGCGTGAAGCAGATCTATTGAAATCCAGCTAGTATCAGGTGAGTGTGCTATTAGCACGTATGTCAACAACAAACAGGTGTATATTGTTCAGTTTAATAAGGATTTAAGATAGATTTAAATTGTATTCTTACTATATTTTAGCATATAAACACCTAGATGATGCACTGAACATTTTTAACAATTCCCAGGGTTCAGATTATGTAGCAATGCATACAAACTGAGTTATGCAATGACACATCTCATCTACAATATTTCAGATCTAATCAATTGATTGCTAATCATTTATCAATCATCTTATTAAAATAAAATGTGACCCTTGCAATCATACTTATTTCTAACACTGATCCTGCCACATCCCCAAGTAATGCAAATGTTTGTCTGGTTTGCGATCCCATTGAAGTGATTCTCGGTCTGGAGATAAGTTCTCCTACCTCTCCTATCTTTTGGCATTTAATTACGTTGAAGTTTCCTGTGTAAGAAGTCTGATCTACACAAAACAAGTGAGTTGAGCACTTGTCACTCTTGCATTTAAGACTAACTGACGCACACAGAGCACACCATTTCAACTCAATCTACAATCTTAAAATTGTATCTATGGTGCACTTACTGTCATTTCTACCCCTGGTACAAACAAAGACTGACAGATATCAGGGTATTTGGCCATGATATTGCACAAGCCATACAGGTTCAAGCCATCCTTAATCTGCAGCAGCATCGGGAACAGCCTCAGGTTTGCATGGAGGACAATAGCACTGTTTTTGTAATAAATGACATGCACACGCACATGCACAAATACAAACAACATAACATGTAAAACAAAAATAAACATGATTAATCACAAAATACGTAAACTTTATGAATTTATGGGTAATGTAATGTGTAATGTTTTATTAGGGAATATAATTAATTTAACCAAGGTTGGGGTATTTCCTTAAAAAAGGCCATTTTATCCCCAAAACATGGGAACCCAATTATGGCACAATGGCAAGTCTGGTCGGGCAATAATGACCAGAGCATCTACATAATACAGTGACATAATGACTTTTCTCAGTGGGAGTATGGTTAAATGATAGACCACAATGAAAAGGGATTGTTATATATACACATCATACACGTGTCATACACATTACACACACATTTTGTATTCTGAAACAATACATTAAGCACCAACATCTCTAACATACCGGATTATTTCGCCCTTTTTCTCCAAGCTGATTAATCCTGTGTAACCACAGTTCAAGATCTCCTCTGTGAGAACTTGAATTGTTGTGTCAGTGGCTGCCTCCACCTGAAATTAGAATTTTCTTCTGGTGATCAAGAAAGTGTGATCATATCATGGTTGTCTCCGTGCTTTGTCAGATCTAGACTGATGATTAGTCTTTGCTTTTTTATGTCAAGAAAGGCTCATGTTACAAAGACTGCAACTGTCAGGTCAGTAATGTTGCTGTAATTAAGGTTAGGCTGCCAACTAAGTGTTTATGTTCTTACTTTTGATAAGAGATCAGTATATTGATCATCTCCCACATCGCTTTTGTCCAAGTGTCCCAAGTCCAGGGACCCAGTGCACAGGAACTTGTAGCACCAAGGCATCAGGACATTCGGAGCTGGTCCTCCTTGGGCCAAGCTGGCAGCCATTATTTCTCCCACAGTCCTGAAAAAACAACAAAGGCACAAGTGCTTTTTTTAAATGTATGTACCTGGCTAATAACAATGAATTGTTAAGAAAACTGTGATGCTTTAATATAATTTGTTGTTGTTGCCCGCAGTGATGAACGCAGAGATAAAACTATCACCAACTCCTAAATTCCCCAAAGCTCTACGGAACTTTCCTCTTGTAGCTCAGTGTTTGGGTTCACCCTCAGCATAGTCATAGCGTTGTTTTTGGCTGCAGCTGTTTTCACAGAAAAAGCACTCAAAACCCAATGTACACTACCTGCTCAGCACCAAATGGCAAACACACACAGTTAGCTGCAGAAAAGCTGGTGAGCTAGTAGAGCATTTAGCAGCTTAAGAGCCAGATATTTCCCTCAGGATTTGGTAAAGAGAGCAGAAACAGCGCTAAAAAGAGAGTAGGACTTACATTCACCAGGTGGACAGAAAAATGATCAACTTAAAAAGGTGACATGCCGGTTATTTTCTGCTGCCCCCAAGTTGGCGAATTGCAGGTTTAAGTATATTATTAGTAGTCAATGGTTGCCCAGATTAACCCAATTCAGATACCAGACACTGAAATGGATCATAAAGCACATACCTGAAATGGCCTTTGTCTAAATCAGACAGTGAATAGTTGGGTCTTCTGCCATGGGTGCCCTTCTCAAAGAACCGCTCTTCAATGCCCGCCACCATTCCTTAGACATTAGAATTATGCATTACATTAACGTTCCTGATGAAATGCAATCAGACATCTTGCATAACTACAATATTTAAAGTACAACTTTTATGTGACTATAGAACCATCAAATTATTCTAATGGCATAACTTTTTATCCTACACACATACCTGTTAGAAATTCTTTACGGAGAGCCCCTGTATCTATACCAGCATCGCCTAAAAAGATGACTTTCAGTTGGTTAGTTGGGGATGCTTTCTTTTGGCGCTGCCATTGCACGAGGCCCAACATGTTCTGGCGGGACACTGTGATGTCAAAGGTTTTGCCATCTGTTGTTACTGCATCAGCAATTGCCTGGATAACATCATCAAGACTAAAGAGCGGGAAAAGGAAAGGAAAATACTTTTTAAGTGTTACTCAAATCTCTCATTCAATACTCAAGTTAATGACGAGTTAAAGATGCTATGACCCACACTTGGGTACAAACAGTAGGGCTGGGTACGGTGCAGGATATCACTTTTAGCGCCAACATTAATTCATTTTTGATTGAATGTGATATGAATGATTGAGGTGGCTAGTGATATAACCACATCTAGATGCATTGGTAACTATATACAGTACATTATAGAAATAGTTAAAAACTGTTCAGTGCATCTTATTTTTCCAAAAATACTGCATGAATTTCTAAAATATTTCAGTCCAATTAATAAATGACATCAATATTTTACATGTATCCTTAACAGTAAAAGTGTAATAACAACTTAAAATACATGAATATAGGTAGATACAAGCTATGTATTTGTTTTTGATGATGCCCGGAGTAGCACTGATTTTTTTTCATTGAATCAGAAAATGTTAAGTTATTCAAAATGTAATGTAAAAACATACTTTTCAATTTCATCTTCAGTGGATTTAGAGGCATCTTGCATCCTGGAGGGTGTTTCCTCCACACTGTCAAGTAAAACATGATTACACAAGGATTACAAATGACCATTATGTACATTCAAAATTGCAAAGAGTTTCCATTAAAGTCTTTATGTTGCTGTAGAAGTATACAGTAGGAGGGAACAGATGAACATTGCCGGGGAGCCTCTGTATTGTTGAATTACTAAATGCATCCCAGAATTTGTACTTTTTATTCAGATTCTAATGAGATCAAAATAACTAGTCAGAACAGTGCTTAAATTATGTTGTATAACTAATTGCACACAATTTTCTCTTTGAGTACTTTCACTTGTAATGATCCTGTCCTTTATTTCAAATGTTACACATTCCAAATACACATTTTCTGTTTATCTCTTACAGAGAAAAAATTATGTATTCATTTTCACCTGTCTCCACATGAGCTGGCATGGACTTGTAAATAATCCAGTGGGTATTCAATCAGACATACTGGACAGGCAGCCTAAATGCAAACGCAGTAACGTGGAAAGACAAGAAAACCACTTACATTAATTCAATAATTGCTATTGGTTGCATGACAATTTTATCTTTATAGGCTGGTATTAAATGTTTTTGTATTACCAAATTTGGTCTCATGGTATTACTAGTCCCTGGTGTAGATTCTGGTGGAATGGACTCAGCAACAATTGTCACTTCAGGGGAAGACTAAACAAAGGTATTAGGTTTTACACTTATATATTATATATAAATGATGAGAACAATCAAAAGCTGTTCAAATTTTGAATTACCCCTCCATGAAGATCAAAGTCATCTCCTGATGATGGATGTTCCACACAGGACTTCACATGCGCAGCCAATACTTGTAATGGCATGCAAGATCCACAGACTCTACAAGACGCCTTAGGCATCTTTTGAAACTCATTTGCATCTGGAGGAAGAGGGGATGTATCCAATTCATCCTGGAGTGGAACAATGTAGATTGTGTTCTTTACTCCTCCGGTCACAGTTTTGAGAAAGTGGCCATTATAACCTTCAGTTTCTGGGGGGATAACTGAGAGTTTACGTTGTCCCGATCCACCTGAAACGAGCAATAACTGAATAAATGAAGACTAAAAACATAAATAAATGATTCAGTACACAGCTTTTGTAGATCTACAATACCGAGGGCTTTATACAGCAGCCAGCCTCCTGATGAAGTCGCAAGTTTCGGGTGCTGACTGGTCAGGAGTCTTGAAATCTGTACAAAACACAATACACCCATCATATGAAAGAAGTACACCTTTCATCCATATTCTATGTTTGAAAGCTTTGCATGAGGGTATACACCACATTTTAGGTAGACGTGTTCAAATATTACGGATACATTGTACATTTTCGATTCTTAAAGTTTATTTTGTACAAAAACACACTAGTTAATGAATCCAGGTTGGCTTACTTTACCTCAAAGTGGTCAGCAGATTGGGGTAGTGTGATGGTGCGACTCCCCATCCCAGCAAGGAGGAGTGCTAATTCGCTGCTTGCTGTTGGTGTCCTGTCTGTATTTCCTTTCAACATATAGAACTGCAGCGTTACAGTCTTCCCACTGCTAGTGATCACCCTGCAGGGAGACCGGAATCTTTTTCTTCCCCTTGCAGGCGCTTTTGAGAAGTAGCCTGGAAATGACCTGTGGATTTACATAAAGTTATATTCATCAGGCCCAATCTTAATTTTATTCAATGATACATATTGGTTGTCTTAACCATATAATGCACTGAGTAGGTGCATGCTACATGTACAGAACCTGGCCATTTCATGTTGAATACTAGACTGTGGCGGTGCTGACTGCTGTTGTTGTGCTGACTGCTGTTGCTGTGCTGACTGCAGTTGTTGTGCTGACTGCTGTTGTTGTGCTGACTGCTGTTGCTGTGCTGACTGCTATTGCGGTGCTGACTGCTGTTGTTGTGCTGACTGCTGTTGCTGTGCTGACTGCTGTTGCGGTGCTGACTGCTGTTGACTGCCAGCTTGAGCAGAGAAACCAGGCTTCTTGCCACCTCTTCGATGGTGCTTCTCTGTAGGTGTAGGATTGTGCATTATTAATAGGGATGCTCCGATCAGGGTTTTTGGGGCCGATCACCGGAATCAGTATCGGCCATGCCGATCGCCAATCCGATCATAGGGTGGGTGGGGGCTATGGGGATCTTCCATTTAAAGTGATGTTTAAAACTCAGTTAATGGGGCTAATTTTTTATAATGCTTCAGTTTTTAGTTCAGATTCATTTTTCCATACATGATCACTTCCACAAACAACAACCAACATAATTATTACATTCAAATGAAGTACATTATTCAAGTTTACATTAACTTTGGATAAGAGCACGGGAGAAATACACGGAAGCGCTCTCTCTCCCTCTCCTGACACTGACAGCCCGTCAGTATCTCATGCAGCAACATGATGGATGAAGGGAAAATGCAACTCACAGAAGCCTACATTACGATTACTAGGCTATATTGCGTGTATTTAAGAGCCATTTAAAATATTACCACCTTGGTTAACATGACTATTAAGCTAACGTTAATAGCCATGTTAGTAAATGTCAATGAGCAAGACCTGACTTGGTTGATTCACGACACCCTTGCCAGCGTAAAAAGCATGGCAAATAAAACGATATCACAAAAAAAACGTACTTGGGATCCTTCACTTTGCTCCATGTTGGACAGCGATCCTCCAGACTGTTGTTCTGCTCCAGCACTGTTGTGCTACGTCTTGGTTCGGCCCGACGAGAAGCGGAGTGTCGACAACCCCATATTGTATAGATATTCGTATATCACGGCCTGAAGTGAGCTATTGCATTTATAAAACGGTTACCACGTGTGGCTGGCAATGTGAAAGAAAAATACACACTCCAATTTAAATAGTTTTTATTATTAAATAATGATGTTCAAAATAAAATAGTCCCTCCGTTGCCTTCTGCACAAAACATAGTGCTATGCAACAACAATAACAGCTAGAGAACATAATTAGACAAACAGCATTGTCGTCGTTTAGGTGCTTTTTTTTTCTTCTCGAGATAGGCACTTCTCAATCCACTCCTCCATAGTAAGGCCACCCCGGAGGTCGAAGTTAACCTTAAATGTTTCCATCTTAAAGGTGGGGTAGGTAAGTTTGAGAAACCGGCTCCAGATACACTTTTTGTTATATTCCATGGAATGCTCTTAACATCCCGATAGCAATGAATATCTGAAGTGCTTTGACAAAAAATCCATAAAAAAATGTCATCTGTGGAAGCCGTGGTACTGTAAAAAGTACAACCAATCCGTTTAGCCGGCGGATTGGATTGCCGCCTTGTCTGTCAGCCTTCCATCTCGTGCGCGCACAAATGTATCTCGTGCCGTCATTGGGCGTGCATTGCAGCAGTACTTCAATAGAGGCTTCTCAATACTCAAATTTCCCCTCCTCGACTGCTCGGTCCTCCGGTAGTGACCCGGAAATGAATTTCAGCGCGCCATTTTGAAGGACGTCTCATTTCTCTAAATGCACACCGAGGACCGAGCATCGAGCGTCGAGGAGGCTCTCTGGAGGAGCTATAACCGAGGATACACTGATGGTTCCTCCACGGCTCCTCCACGGATGCATTTCCGGGAACGGTGGAGGCGTGACGCACGGCCGGACTTATCTCAGCCAATGACAGCTATGCATGCATCCCCTGGATATTATTTTAGTAACTGCTTTCATCGCATTGCGATGTTTCCAGAGAGAACAGCTGTAAGGTCCGTGCAGAAACAGAGCAGTGTGTATAATATATATCACTCAGTATAACAGGCCTACTCTCTTTATTTGCTTTAGTTTAGTAGATATCTACAAACAAAGAGTCGATATTTTTCTAAGACCATTGCTTCACATAATAAAATACACAACGGCTTATGCTTTAGGAGCTGTAGGTGTGTGTGGTACAGTGTGTAAGTGTGTGTGTGGTACAGTGTGTAGGTGTGTGTGTGGTACAGTGTGTAGGTGTGTGTGTGGTACAGTGTGTAGGTGTGTGTGTGGTACAGTGTGTAGGTGTGTGTGTGGTACAGTGTGTAGGTGTGTGTGTGGTACAGTGTGTAGGTATGTGTGGTACAGTGTGTAGGTGTGTGTGTGGTACAGTGTGTAGGTGTGTGTGTGGTACAGTGTGTAGGTGTGTGTGTGGTACAGTGTGTAGGTGTGTGTGTGGTACAGTGTGTAGGTATGTGTGGTACAGTGCGTAAATGCGGCGGACAGATGGGTCTCAGTTGGTTTGGTGTCCTCTGCTTTCTTTTAATACTTGTAAATACAACTTTTGGCCCGTAATTTAAATTCCCCATTTCAGCGACCAGAGAGAGGGGGGGATATATCCAGTCTCTGATTGTGTTACGTTATTATGAGAGTGCTCTCATACTTTAAATTGTATATATTTATATAAATATATTTGTGTGTGTGTGTCCGCATCTCTAGCCTGTTATTGTCTCATTATACCGCACTCTCAATGAATTCAAAGTAAATATGTGGGGGAACAATGTTCAGCTGATCTAACAGAGATACAGCTCTATGACAAAACACTCAACAGCTGATGCAGCTGTTGCCATGTAATAATGAACGGATGTCTCTTTAAAATTACCACTCAGAGGAGAGGAGTTCTCATTTCTTTAAACGTCTGCTGCTTCCCCTCCTCTCTCCTTGGTTCCCCTCCTCGGTCCTCCGCTCGCATCTCCTGTGGGCGGGTCTAAGTCTCGAGGAGGGGAACCGAGGAGGGGAAATTTGAGTATTGAGAAGCCTCTAATGACTCGCCAGCAACAGGCGGCCACTTTCACCAGTCTGCTGACGTCATGTGCGCGTTCATGTGTGTTGGAGGAGGTGCTCTGTAAGGAAGTCTGAAGGAAGGGGCGGATTCTTTTCGGCCGTGTACTTTCGGTTTCTGAAACTTACCTACCCCACCTTTAAGCTTTGTTAGTTAGCCTAGTTAGTTAGTTTCGTAACGGACGTAATGTAACAGTTGTAACGGTTCTCAGACGCGGAGGGATACTGATTTGTGAAAAGTAACTACAATTATACCCGGGATATACGCTCATTATATCACGGCTAAGAAACATCAGATTGCTTGATTTGACTTGTCCGTTTTATAAACATATACTAACTATATATGTTTATTAAAAAAAAGTTGTACAGCGAAGTGAAGTACATGTTATGTTATAAAGCCGTGGAGGGCGGGAGTTTATAAACCAGAGTAACCGCCCTTACGGGACGCTGTAATAAGTAAAGCGAACGCACCCGCAAGGACACCTGGCCTCCTATTGGTTGAGGGATTTTGACAGGATTGTTGCACAAAAGTTTCGAGCGCGCACAGAATAAATCTGAGAGCAGAACAAATCTGTAAACAGCAATATATCTGAGTGCAAGCGTACAGTTTGAGCACAAGCAGAGCAAATCTAAGTGCAAGCAGGCACTATTTGAGTGCGAGGACAGAGTTTGAGGGAAATAAATACATAAAGTATGCTCTCAAATTTAAATACCACGCTCTTGAATAAAGATAGTAATTAACTAGTAACCAGTAACCTTTTTTGTATCTGTCTCCTCTGGTGAGAGAGAGAAAATATAACGTCCTCTTTACCGTGGTGTCGGTGTGGAGGGAAGAAAAAACTAGCAACAGGTATGTTACTAGCTTGAAGAAAAAAATCAAACCTTACCGTTATTTCGACAGAAAGAAACGGCGAGGCAGATTACAATATTAACTGGTGTGTTCATATTGTTCAGTCTTCTTGCAAAGCAAAAAAGTAACCGGCAAGCGCCCGTCGAACGAATATTAGCTTTGGGTTCAGTCTGTGGACCGTTAAGCTAGCCCGGTTACTGATAATTCGAGATGTGCTCTGAAGCGAGAAGAGGTGTTTGAATGACGCTGCGTCGTAGCGCAGGCGCAAACTACTTAAAGGGTGGGTGGATTCTCTGACGTTGACGTCAAGATCACCAGCCAATCAGGATTGGCGTAATGAGATTGATGCTTATGTTTGCATACGCGTTGAGGCGCATCCCATAGTGAGACATCGAATGGAGTGTTATGAATGAGAACTTCTGTGTAGCTATGCAGTGGGAGTCACCGACTCAGGAAAGAGACACGGGAAGAGCAGGAGCTTTGATGTCAAACACTGATGGTTTATTTGGAGTTTCGGCCGGAGAATTCACATCACAAGTCACAGCAGCCACGATCTGACTGCACGGTAGAGTTGCCACGTAAATTCTGAAGAACTCTACCCCAGACCCATGTATTTAGCTAGTTCCGAGAGCATCATCAACATGCTGCATAACAAGATAGAATCATAACACCTCTATCAGCTGACGCCAACAGGCAGGAACAGGGAGACAGAACACTGAGAGCACAGCAGCCAAGGTTACGAGGTGCATGTGCTCAGTCAGGACAGTTTGAACTGATAAACTGGGTCAAAGTTATGGGCCTTGAAAAATATTCCCCAACACAAACCATATTCAAACTTTTGATCAGCAGTCTTTATTAAAAGTGAACCTTAACAAAAACAGTGCAAACGTATTGCTCATGAAATAAAAATGACACCCTGCGACCAAAGTTAAAAGAGGAAAGAAAGTAACAGTGAAGTGAAACACAGATGACTCGTGCAAAACGTGAGTCTATTTTTCCTTCCCTGTGCATCTTTCAAATGTTCTCGCTCATTTGAAGACTTTCAGATAACCTTTAGTCAGTGCTCTGAGTAGAAATACCTCAGTCATGAAAAACCATGAATGAAAAAGGTTAAATGAGAGGCTTTTTCAGTGTTCACTATACATTTATTGAATTCACAGAAGTAAAGCACAAGTTCTTAATCAAAACAGAGCATATGTACATGTCTCAAAATAAGTGTGAATTTTAATCTCTAATGTAAAATATGTTTGAAAACTTGTATTTATCTTTTTATTATTTGCATTTTCAGAAATTATTTAATGACATAACAAAATAGACAGATAAATACATAGATTAACTACATATCAAACGACAAAGAGACTGCAAACTTTTTTATAGGCAAATACACCCTGTACACCACACTATTATATGAATATGTAAAGCATCACTTTCATACTTGTTTGTCTGCAATATGTTGAAACGACTGAGGATTTGTTAGCACTCCCATTTCCTTAACCAAGTTATTCAACCTTATGCTCTTTTTGTTCTTCTTACTGTACCTCACCCCCAGAATGGCACATATACAGTAGTACATACTCAACATGACAATCTGTTCTATAGAGAGTACTAGAAAAATAAATGTGAACTCTCTGGGTTTTCCTGAGTAACAGGAACATGTGAAAGGTTCCTTCTCATTTTCTCACACTGGGCACATGAGGAAAAAAGTGTTGGGACTGAAGTAAAGATGTATTCTTGTTTAGGAGACATGTTGGCTTTTAAAGATGCACTTTGAAAATGCGGAGCTGCCCGTTTCTGATGTCAGAACAATTTCAAATCTGTATCAGTCTGTATCAGATCCGTTGCAGCCCATGTATAAAAGATGTACAAAAGTGCATTTTGCATGATAGGTCCTCTTTAAAGCATCTGTTTTTTCATATACTTAGCTTTGGTTAACCCTTATGTTGGGAAGGAGATGTTGCTGATTTAAATAACTGTTTTCCTCCAGCATCTCCTCAAGGCACTGAATAACAATTGGGTCCACCTTTGGGTCAAACTTATTGGCGAACCAGTGACCATAGTTGAGTAACCAACGCAACTCGCCTGCACCAAAAATGCAAACGCTGCGGACGTGTTTCCCCGAGCATTGTGGGTACAGTTCTTCCTCCAGGTACTGCCACTTCACCAGCCTGGCCTTACTCATGAGGTCAGTGATGTCGGGCTGGTATCTGGGCACCTCTCCAGGAACACCTGGCAGGCGCACAAGGGTTGCCCAGAAGTGTTCGTCTGGAGAGTAGGTGTCCTCTGACCAGGCCAGGAAATCCTTCACCACAGCTGAGGAGTCTATGTGCACAATAAACTCCCGTGACAAGACAAAGTAAGCACTTCCGATGAACATCTCGATGCCGTGTGGAGGTGGCGTCTTCTTCTGCTCTGTTTTCATTGGAAGTTTTTTTAACTCATTTTTGAAATCCATCAGTTTGTAGCTTAAGGTGAACCTTTGCTTCTTGCTCTCACTGGGCCGGCTTGTCTCTAGCATATTGGCCCCATTTAACCTCTTCAGTTCTGACACTATCTCAAAGTTGGACCTGAGGGGGAAATCTTGGCCACAGAGGTTGATGACATACTTCCACTGGACTTCCGACTTCAAAAGGTCAGAGAGACAGTTGAGATCTGCTTTCAATCGACTGATGCCGGCGTAAAAGACGGTTTCTCGCTTGGAGGCTATGAAGACATTAGGCAGACAGCGGGCTAAACCTTCCACGGCTGAGATGAACTGTTCTAAGGACTTCTGATCATAGTGGATACAGTAGATGTTACTGGGTGAGTACACCACTTTGATGAGTCTCTCTATCATCAATGCAGATGTATGCACCACAATTGAGTAAGCAAGAGGAAAGTCTCTCTCCTGCTGTGAGACTTGAACAACATCATAACCTCTGGCTTTGATGAATGATAGGCAGTTTGAGGTGAGGTTAATCAGACTTTCATCATTGTCCTCCACAACTTCCCGTCTGATGACAAGTGATTTACCCACCTCCACTGGGTCCATGTCATAAATAGCCGGACAGCTAATATTGTACTTTTGATATGCCTGGATGCCATGTAAAGCTGCTTGGGGGGGTAGAGGCTCAGTGATGTTGCTGTACTCCACACTGACCAGCAGCAGTAGACATAGTGCCAGCAGTGAACAATAGAATGACTTCCTTAGTCTCGGTAGTGAACATCTTCCATTCATTCTGGAAACAGAAACCAAAACCACATTTTTTTAATTCCCCCTTGCACTGGAATAGAAACTGAAAAGCTATACATTTAGTTTCGACAAAAGAACATTTTAATGATTGGATACACACTCACCTTGCTTCAAACGCATGTGCCGATTTGCAAACTGTCTCAAATCACATCCTAAAAGTTTTAAACAAGGATAAATCCAGATGTATGGGTTGTGTGTATTGAATGCAGCAAATATATATTTATAATTAATAGTTACAAATAAATCATAACGTTCAGGAGCAACTTACCGATGTCAGGAGGAAGGATTTCAATCCCGTGCCATTTTCGCTTTTTACGCACAACTGGTTCAACATCTATTGACGACATCCACTTGAATCCTCTCGTCATTCATCGCATTCCGAGATTTATTTTGTAACATGATCTATATAAAGCATAAAGAGCCTCAACACGCTGTCTGTCTGCCTTTAGTCGTTGTGTCGGTGCGCTCTCACAAATAAGCCGAAAAGAAAGAGGGAGGGGCTCAAAGAAGCGGATAACTGCACTAATTGCATAACAGATGCACAAATGTTATCTGGCGTTTCATATGTCACCACAGATGTAAGGCAAATACTATTATTATGTGCATAATATTGTAAAAGTGAATGGAGCTGTGCGCACATTACAAGCTATTCCTAAACGGACATCCATGCAGCTGATTAGAGAGGGTGAATAAAAACCCCGTGGTTTCTGTCATCTGAAATCACTTAGAAATCAATCAAAAAGAATCAGTTTATTTGTATTCTTCCAGGAGTGACAACCTGTCATTACATTGTCAACCAGATCGCGCTATATAATTAGAAAGACTGTACAACAAGTTAACCGTTCAACGGTTGCTTAAAACCAACACGTCTCTAATGTGTCAAATTAGCAGTTATTTGTGAGAAGGGATAGAAAATGCATTATCTAACTTTATTTACATCATGTTATTGGCAGCAGATTAAAAAAAAACATGGATCAGATTTTTCCTCAGGTTGTTACAGAAACATAGATTTAAGTGTGAATGCATTTTTCATTGTCATCTTTTTAGCCATTTCCAAATATTTCACACTATATATTGACTTTTAAGTTTACGCAATAGGCCTACATATCATGTGGCAATATTTTTTTGGGACCAACTTTTTTCAGTTTTATATAACGGAAATGACAGTTCAAATATATAACAAGAGTTCACACATTTTTTGACATGTAATGTGTTTGATGAAGTAAAACGTGTTACTCAGAGACTGACTGAACTGTCAAACGTATAGGGTAGACAAGAAAAGAAGCGGCTGTGGTTTGCATACAGGATATGAAATATGAAAATGGACTCTGCAGATAGGGTAGCTATGATGTTCAATAAGATGGATAGATAAACTTTTGAAAAGTGCTGAAATGATCCTCCAGTAAAGAGAAACTGATGTGATGCACCTCATGTAATTGCACAATGACAGAATCAATATAAATGTTCAGTAATAAAGTTCTTGCTCTTTTATTTTTATTAGATCTCTGGATAGTGAATCTACTGAGATACCGCAGGTAGTTCCTTCCTGCAGTAGTCAGACTATACAACCAGCACAGCCCCTAGTAGAACCCTCTAACCCTAACACACCACAACACAGACTATAACACCCCTTGCTGTTAAATACCAACCAACTATATGTGCAATATATATATATATATGCCGTTAAAACTGTGCTATATATACCTGGCTGCTAAATCCTAAAACTGTTACAGGATGTGTATTGTATGTACAATACATACAGGCCGGATGTATATTTTTTATTATATTTGTTATTATATCATAACTTAGTACTTTTTAATGCATGTAAAATATAACATATAACGCTGTCTGTGGCTCTTTTTTCTGCTGTAAATATGTACATTTCCCCTCTGTGGGACTAATAAAGGTATTCTGATTCTGATTGGTGGAAAGTAAGTACATTTACTCAAGTATTGTATCTAAGTACTGTTTTGATATATTTGTACTTACATTGAGTATTTACATTTATTGCTACTATATACTTCTACTCCATTACATTTCAGCGGCACATTTTCCGCATATTTTTTTATTTTGTCTTTTTATTTTAACACTCACAGTTACTAGTTTCCTACATATAAAAATAAGCTGACATGATATATTGAAGTGCTGTACATCACAGTGTTTCACATATCTACATTTGGTCCACATTGACAAACTTAAATACTCTTACATGGGTAAAAACAGGATCAAATAATGATAATAATAATAATAATACTAATATAATACTGTGAAAAGATCCATTCTGCATAACGCATAGTTTAACTTTTGATACTTGGAGCACATAGTTCTGAAATGGGCCATTGCCAACTGCAACACCCTACCATGTGGGCCTTACTGATAGGACGTGTAATAGTCAGCCTATAATCAAAGGTATTTCTCTTCAAACCACCATCTCAAACATGCACCAAAGCCCAACTATATGATCCACACAAAACAAGGCAAGGAGTTTTACAGCATGCTCCTTTTGCTCTTTGTTGTAGGCACATTTGCATGATAAGCATCCAAACAAGTGTAAGATTGATAATTTCTCCTCCAGACAGACTAACCACTGCGTGCTTCACTTGCCTTCTTGAAGCACTGCAATCTTCAAAATACCGCTCGTGCTGACCATTTTAGTTTTCATTCATGTTTTACACATCTAACAACCTCTGTAGCGCTAACTACAGTCTGCAGTGGTGTAAAGTAACTAAGTACATTTACTCAAGTATACGTATTTAAGTACAATTTATAGAAAATTGTACTTCACTTGAGTATTTCAAATGTTTGCTACTTTGTACTTCTACCCCACTCAAATTCAGAGGTAAATAATATACTTTTACTCCACTACATTTATTTAATATCTTTAGTTACTGTGGATTACTGATGTGAAATAGCCTATTATCAACTCTTAAATAAGACTTTAGTTACGCCTGGAGTAAATTAACAGGCTACCCTGCAGTATACAAAGTCATTAAAACTAGCTGCACCTTTACCAGCTTTGACAACACTTAATGCATCAATAATTATAATCAAAGCATATAGGCCTACAGTAATAGCCTATATTATTCTGAAATGGGCATCATGAGTATTTTTGCTTTTGGTACTTCAAGTATATTTGATGCTAATACTTTCGCAATTTACTTGACTAATATTTTTATTTCACTTTTACTTGTAACAGAGTATTCCTACACTCTGGTGGTTCTACTTTTAATAAGTACAAAATCGGAGTAGGCTACTTTTCCCACCTCTGACAGTCTGTCATCACGCCGTGTGACGTAGGTGACGTAAGTGACGTGAGTGACGTTGACGACGTCAGGATTTCCGCATCGCCATGTTGACGTCGTTGTTACCCATGGATGTATAATAAGAACGTTGTTTCTCCGAAGCGATTTGTGGAGGGGGCATTATCATCATGGAAAGGACTCGCTGACTCGGGTGAAGCTTACATTTTAAAGTACGATAATTCAACATGTTTTATAGGGCTCCAACTTTAAAAGAGCCAATAACGTACAGAGTGACAATGTCACCTTGGTGGTATAATGTGTATGTTGTTAGACCGGGTGTGACAGCTAATGCTAACGCTACTGTCTGAGAGCTAACTGCTAAAGCTAATGCTAACCATGAAAAACCTTAAACTGACACCTTAAACACAGATATGTTTACTAGTTTGACCTCTCTCGATCATTTCTGTCTTTATAAACTGTAAAACAGTACGCTTAAGTTAGTCTGCATAGTTTGAACTAAACGCTCTTTCACTTGAGATAGCTAGCCAAGGGGAAGCTACATTTTGGTCTCACAGCTAAACAAATGTAGCTAAAATTACATTACTTCCCTTTATAAATGTAGTGAAATAGAAGTATAAAGCAGCATAACATGGAAATACTCAATTAAAGTACAAGTACCTAACATAAATTCTACTTGAGTACAGTACTTGAGTAATTGTACTTCCCACCTCTATATGCTTTTTAATACATGTGACTGTGATCTTAGGCAGCAGAAAGGCATCCTGAGACCATGTTGGCCCGGCTGTTCAGGCTCCACGGCCTACTGGTGGCCTCCCATCCATGGGAGGTTATAGTGGGCACCATCGCTCTAACCGTCTGCCTCGTGTCTATGAACAACTTGTCATCCAGCAGCCAGATATGCAGATGGAATGACTGCCCGAAAGTGGAAGAGGTGAGTCTGCTTGACAGGAGGCTGGAGTGGGTTTGGCAGCTTATTTTTAAATTAAAACAGGTAGAAGGATATGCTAACAAGAAGTTACGTCTGTGCTTGTTTTCTTACAGGAAATCCACAGCAGTGACATAATCATCCTAACTATCACACGCTGCATGGCCATCGTTTATATCTATTTCCAGTTGAAGAATCTGCGACAACTAGGCTCCAAATATATACTGGGTCAGTATGATAGGATGCTGTAGCTTGTTCAGCATTACACTTTATGCTTCATAGCATTTCCATATTTACAATGACAGTATATCTTTTTAACTGTTCATATTTCTTCCTACAGGCATTGCAGGGTTGTTCACAGTGTTCTCCAGCTTTATTTTCAGTACGGTGGTCATCCACTTCTTTGGGAAAGAGCTGACAGGTCTTAAGTAAGTTTGAAATAGGCCAACATACTTATTGCACAGCACACAGAATTAACTTAAGTTTGCTAGTCATTTCAATTTACGGCAGTGTCCAACAGAACTTGTTTTTTAACAATGAAGACGTGCTGCCGTGAAACAATGTAATTCCCTGATTGACATGAATCCCTTTCCCCTGCAGTGAAGCCTTGCCGTTCTTCCTCCTGCTCATTGACCTGTCCAAAGCCTGCACATTGGCCAAATTTGCCCTCAGCTCAAACTCTCAGGTATTGTCACGCACCTTGTTTCTGTGAATGTGTGAACTGTAACTGAAATCTGTTGATTCATAGCCAGAATATAGATGAGGTATCTGACAGGTGCTATGGCCCTGTGTCTTGTGTATAGGAGGAGGTTAGGGAGAACATCTCTCAGGGCATGGCCATCCTGGGCCCCACCTTCACCCTGGATGCTCTGGTAGAGTGTCTGGTCATTGGGATTGGCACCATGTCAGGTAAGGACAAATATTTTTGTTCCTCCAAAACAGCACCAGCTATGTTTCATTTTGATACTCTGTGATGATGGTGTATTAACTATTTTCTATTGTTTTCCAGGTGTGCCTCAATTAGAGACAATGTGTTGTTTTGGCTGTATGTCTGTCCTGGCCAATTACTTTGTCTTCATGACCTTCTTCCCTGCGTGTGTCTCCCTGGTCTTGGAGGTAAGGATTATTTGTCAAATGTGGGCGAAATCTTTGTCTGAAATCAGTTGCAAATGCATGTCACAGTAGATTTCGATCGAGCTCATGCTGTATGTTTGTCTGTGTAGCTGTCCAGGGAAAGTCGTGAGGGACGTCCGATCTGGCAACTGAGCCACTTTGCTTCTGTGCTGGCTGAAGAAGAGGACAACAAGCCCAATCCTGTGACACAAAGGGTCAAAATCATCATGGTGAGACTCTGTAGTTTAAAAGCAGGGTTTGTACGGTCATTGAAAACCTGGAAAAGTCATGGAAATTCAAAATGCAAATTCCAGGCCCTGGAAAAGTTATGGAAAACAATATTTTACCCAAAGTTTTGGAAAAGTCATGGAAATTTAACTAAAGTTGCGTCAAATATAATTTACTTTTTATCTAATCACCGAAATAATCTGCGGTCTCGAGCTGTTATGTGCCATCATGACGCGCATGGTGTTATTTTTTTAATATATGAAGCGCAAGCTGTGTGCTCGAGTCTTCCTGCCTGTCGGCTGAACTCTGCTGCTCCGGGATGAGGGTCAGCTACATTATCTACGGTGCGTTCGTTAACTGTGCGGAGTGACTGTGGCACAGACTGAGCCGCTGGTGAACAGCTGTTAGAACAGGCCGTTCAGAGCAGAGCGGCAGAGCGTGATGTGAACTGGAACGTTTTTCTGTCGCAATATCATTTAAGGAATCGTTGAGCGAGCTAGCTAGCATACATTGTCACTATCTGCTAACGTTAGCTTTAGCCTTCGTTTTCTAATAGTTGTTTTCATAGGCTATAAACAGAGGTGGTATAAGTATGGATCTTGTGCTAGAGTAAAAGTAGAAGTACTCAGATCTTGTACTTAATAAAAGTAGAAGTACTCAGATCTTGTATTTGAGTAAAAGTAAAAGTACCAGAGTGTAGGAATACTCCGTTACAGTAAAAGTCCTGCATTCAAAATGTTCCTCAAGTAAAAGTAGAAAAGTATTCTCATCAAAATATAGTTAAAGTAACGACAGTAAAAGTAGTCGTTGTGCAGATTGGTCCATTTCAGAATAATATATATGATATGTTTTATAATGATTGATCATGAAAGTGTTCTCAAAGCTGGTAAAGGTGCAGCTAGTTTGAATGACTTTGTATACTGCAGGGTAGCTGGTGGATTTACTCCAGGTGGAACTAAAGTCTGATTTAACACTTGATTATATTTCACATCATTCATCCAGATCTGAAAAGTAACTAAAAGGTATTAAATACATGTAGTGGAGTAGAAGTACACCATGTACCTCTGAACTGTAGTGGAGTAGAAGTAGGCTACACCTTTTACTTCTGAATTGTAGAAGTACAAAGTAGCAAAACGTTTAAATACTCAAATAAAGTACAAGTATCTCAAAATTGTACCCCCGTATAGTACTTTTACATTACATTACATTGCATTTAGCTGACGCTTTTATCCAAAGCGACTTACAATAAGTGCGTTCGACCAACAAAATTTACTTGTTGAGTTTATGAACTTAGTTACTTTACACCAGTGGCTATACAGATAGAAAGACTAAGCCTTGCAGAGGCATGAAAATACATTTTCAAAATGCTCAACAGTGCTGCCAAAATTATAAACTGACTGCTACACAATTAAAATAAATGCTTTTATATATTTCTATATTTTGTATATCGGATCCTTGTCACCTTTTTCATAGCTGATGACTTTGCCTCCCTGACTGCAGTTGCTTTAGCGTGTAGAAGCTAGTCAGCCTACTATTTGATTTGTTTTAGATAGGCACTACATGTTTCATATGCAGACCTTATTTTCCTGTTCCATGTTAAAATAAACCATTTTCAGTGGTAATTTTTTTTTGTTCATGGAAAATTAGGTAAAGGTCATTGAGAAGTCATTGAAAATCATTGGTGTATGAACCCTGTAAAAGTAAACTCTGGACAGTTGTTTACAAATCAATTTCAATCATCACGTTTTTTACAATATCCTTCCCAGTCTCTGAGCCTGGCTTTGGTTCATGCTCATACTCGGCTAGCAGCTGAGCATCCAGGTCAAAACAGCTCTCTGGAGGGACCCATAGCAACCAGACTGGACTCTGGTGACACATTATGGCCTCCTAAGCTCAACAGGTAAGAGCACTCATAAAAAACAAATGACCCTTTCCATGAACACATTTGCCTGGTATTTACTGCCGTCCTCTGACCTACTGATGCATGACTTTGTCTCTGTTCCCCTCCGACCAGTATGGACCTGGAGCAGGTGATAACTCTCGGCCTCGCCCTGCTCCTGGCTGTGAAGTATGTTTTCTTTGAGCAAGCAGAGACAGAGTGTTCCCTGTCCCTCATGAGTCCAAGTATCAGCTGTCCTCCGACCCAAAAACCCAGGGTGACGGAGGACTGCTGCAGGAGGGACTACCCAAGCACAAAACCTCAGACGACCATGAACGGTACCTTAGCAACCAACCCTGCCTTGCCAGCCGTGTCAGACGCTAACACAGCGTTCAGGGAGAAAGGTGAGACTTTAATGAGCCCTCATAGCGCTATCCTGTCTTACCCTGCAGATGAAAAACAAAATCTCTGATGTAACTGCATTGTTGCTTAACATTGCTTTTTCTCTCAGTGGAGAACGTCCCCTGCGTTTCATGCTTTGGGGAGTCTCCTGCTCCGACACCTTGTGTTCCTCAAAGCAGCTGTAATTCAGAGGCCCGGACGCTGGACGAATGTATGAGTATCCTCTCAGATCCACAGGTAAGCTGATGGAAATCCTATCTTCAGTTCTGTGTTTGTCTGAAGGTTTAACAAGTCACTACATTGCCCATGTTGCTTTCCAGAAGGGTGCCCGTTTTCTGAGCGATGAAGAGGTGATGAACCTGGTGACCTCTCGAAACATCCTGAACTATAAACTGGAATCTGTTCTGGAGACTCCAGAGAGGGGCGTGGCCATCAGGAGGGAAATGCTTTCATCCAAACTGCCTGTTCTCTCTGCTTTGACTTCTCTGCCTTATAAGGACTACGACTATTCTAAGGTATTGGCCACATGCAAATCTTTCACTTTTTATGGGACCTATTTGGTATTAACTACAAGCACATTCATTTTGATCCATTTTAAATTATGATATATACATATTTCATTTTACAAAATTACAAATATTCTAATTGTTTTATATACTTTATATATTTATATAAAGTTATATATTTATATTTCATGTAGATCTTCACCTATTTATTTGCTCCTTTTTCTTTACAATTGAATACCTCCGGTGTTTATGTATGCTCCATTATACACCAGAGCAATGTATGTATAAACAGGGCTGCACATAACTGGTGCGCATGCGCACCTTCGCCAAAAAAAGAGCACCGGGTCATTTGAAACAAGCGCATTTGCGTATCAACATTGAGAGAGGGAGAGAGAAAATAGAGGAGAGAGAAGAGATGAGAGAGAGAGGAGAGAGAGAAAGATATTTGCGAGTTGCATATGAACCATGATATGAACTCAGGGCCGGCCCGTAGCGCTGGCTAGATGTTCGCCTAGGGCGCCAGATCTGTGGAGGTGCTGCGCTGGCAGTTCTGGGAGGGAAAAAAAACATTTTGACCGTTGGGGCTCATCCTAATTTTCGGCCTTGATGTAACAATATTCACGATTAAGTAAATGTACACCCTTTTCACCCCGGTTACACGTTTCATTTGCCCTGTACGATGGGCGCTGTAAGTGATGAAAATGGGGGATGTTGGCTTATCTGGCGCCCGCAGCTCACAGACAAAATGCGAGTGAGCGAGGGAGAGAGGGAGGGTGGTACCAGCGCTGTTGTTATTAGAATCTGGTGCTAGCTGCTCTAACGGAGATAAGAAGAAGATGTTTCTACAATAATGTGGAGGGAGAGTCCTCTCCAGTCAGACTGAGAGGCTGATAACTACAGCTCAGTGAGGTAAAGGACTCTTAGTCTAAGTTCAAACGGTTTGGTCACAATTTATGTAAACACATATTTCCAAGGCACTCCTTTGTAATTATTGGGATAAACAGGTTTTAAATCATTCCAATGTATACTATAGGAAGTAACCAAAAATATCCTTTAAAACTGGAGATAAAAAAAAAATGCATAAATAAATGTTAAGGTAAAATAAGATATGAATGAACAACACAAATAAAATAAGTTACATTCATTTGTTATTGGCTATGGTAGGTTATTGGTTATGTTCACATACTTATTTGATTACATCCACTTGTCTAAGATGACAACAGAGACTTTCGACCCAAAACCAGCTTGAATAAGATGGAATGTAATTTCCAAACCCAGCTGTTGACTTGTGGATGCAAGCAGCTAATCGCAGACTCAACCAGAGAGGAAGAAGTAGGCCTACATCATCAGCTACCATGTCTGACAGAGAGGAAGACAGTGAGGAGAACAGTCAGGAGGGTAGTGATGACAGCTTGTAGGATTACTGGTCGTGCTAATGTTGTCTTGTGTTCACCTCTGCATGTGTGTTCTGTGTTCACCTCTGCATGTGTGTTCTGTGTTCACCTCTGCATGTGTGTTCTGTGTTCACCTCTGCATGTGTGTTCTGTGTTCACCTCTGCATGTTCAGTGCAGTGTGTCTGTCAAATAAAGTCAAGACCCCCTCAAAAGTTACGGTTTATTTAATTTTAAGGATGAGCACCAAGCAACATCTCCAGGTGCTCCTTTGAGAACCAGGGCAAAAAAGTTATGTGCACCCCTGTGTATAAACCTACTTGGCAGTAAACCTAGTTATTTTTCTGATGGTTTTCATTAACGATATGTTTCTGTAAATATTGCAGCTTCTATAAAGTCCTTGTTGCCCTGTAGGTGATGGGCACCTGCTGTGAGAACGTCATTGGCTACATGCCGGTGCCAGTGGGAGTGGCTGGTCCTCTTCTTTTGGACGAGAAGCAGTTTACATTCCCATGGCGACCACAGAGGGCTGTCTGGTGGCCAGCACTAACAGAGGATGCAGGGCGCTTTCTGTAAGTTGTGTGTGTGTGTGTGTGTGTGTGTGTGTGTGTGTGTGTGTGTGTGTGTGTGTGTGTGTGTGTGTGTGTGTGTGTGTGTGTGTGTGTGTGTGTGTGTGTGTGTGTGTGTGTGTGTGTGTGTGTGTGTGTGTGTGTGTGTGTGTGTGTGTGTGTGTGTGGTGTGTGTGTGTGTGTGTGTGTGTGTGTGTGTGTGTGTGTGTGTGTGTGTGTGTGTGTGTGTGTGTGTGTGTGTGTGTGTGTGTGTAGTGTGTGTGGTGTGTGTGTGTGTGTGTGTCAAAACACTGATGATTTATTAGAGTTTCGGCCGGAACATTCAAGTCACGGTGAGACTGCACGGGAGAGTTGCCACATCAATTCTGGAGCGCCTCTCTCTCGTTAGCCCATTTAACTGGTTTCACAGAGAGTAATCAACATATTTTGATAAGATAGCTTTAGACAGTTGGGCACACTGAGTTACCTGCTTCCGCCACTTATGGCCTCGAATATGTCATACCCTGGAGTCCACAAACAACATAGAAGGAAGTGTCCCAGTGCACCCACAACAACAGACCATCTGTGACCTAGTGTTGACCGGTCACAGAATGGGAACAATAACGTTATGGCTGAAGCAGCCTATGTCCTTAAAGGAGATAAACAGACGTCAGGGTTGGTCCTGTACGTCATATCTAGGAGTCTAGGTCAATTATTTCCACAACGTGTGTGTGTGTGCTCTGACTCTATGGTATGTTCCTGTCCAGCTGAGCGGGGGTTGCCGCAGCAGCATCCTGGCTGACAGTATGACCCGGGCTCCTGTGGTGAGGCTGCCCTCAGCATGCCGCGCCGCAGAGGTCAAAGTGTGGCTGGAGACCCCGGATGGGTTCGCCCTGATCAAAGAGGCGTTCGACCAGACCAGCAGGTCAGTGCAAACACAGACAGAAAAGTTTTCCACTTCATTAAGTCACACCCATGAAATGTTGTTGTATTTGAGGACATACAGATCATATGTTAACATTTGCTCTTGATAGGTTTGCTCGTCTGGAGAAGCTTCTGGTGAGCTTAGCAGGGAGAAACTTATACATTCGCTTCCAGTCTCAGACCGGAGACGCCATGGGCATGAACATGCTCTCAAAGGTACCATCCACACTTGTATAGCAGTCAATGCAAATGAGAAGCAGCACTACAGAGCACTGGCTTTGTTTTGTATCTCCAGGGATGTAAATACAAATAAAAGTGTGTGTGTATTTTCCCAGGGGACGGAGCAGGCTCTGCAAATACTCCGGCAGCAGTATCCAGATGTGGATGTGCTGTCGATCAGTGGCAACTATTGCACTGACAAGAAGTCTGCTGCCATTAACTGGATCCTGGGTCGGGGAAAGTCTGCTGTGTGTGACGCCACCATACCAGCCAAGGTGGTCAGGGAGGTAAAGAACACTAAAACCAAACTCTTCTGTTTGTATTTTGATGTGTAACAGTGGGATTTCCACTATAAACTCAAATCACAGTTTATGTATTCATTCATTATTAACATGTTCTTATTGGTGCTGCTTTTTTCTGTTAGACAGATCATACATTTGGCACTAAAACCGCCCATTCATGTGTCTGCAGGTGTTGAAGACCAGCACAGCCTCTCTGGTGGAGCTGAACATCAACAAGAACTTGGTGGGCTCGGCCATGGCGGGCAGCATCGGGGGCTTCAATGCTCATGCTGCCAACATCGTAGCTGCCATCTACATCGCCTGTGGACAGGTAATGGACCCCCCAACATGTTTTAATTACTTAGATTCATCTCACAAAATGTGGTAAAACAGTATTGATGGTTCAGAATAAAGATTACATTTTTTTTAGTATATTAGAATGGTTAAATTACACATAACATTATAATTGGACACTAGTCATCTGATCTAAACATCCCTATTAAGAGATAAATAAATACATTATATGAGGAATTAGGAGTGCTGATCATTCAAATGAACCCAAAAATGATTACATTACAATATATTTGGCTGCAAAAAAAGAATAAATAATAAGTGTTGGGCATCAGCGTAGCCCAAGACATGAATCTGTGCGTCGAGTGAAATGTTTGCGTTGCCGGTTCCAGGACCCGGCTCAGACCGTGGGGAGCTCCAACTGCATCACCCAGATGGAGGGGGCCGGCCCGGAGAGGGAGGACCTGTACATCAGCTGCACCATGCCTTCCATAGAGCTGGGCACTGTAGGGGGGGGCACCAACCTGGCCCCCCAGCAGGCCTGCCTCCAGGTAATGTTCCCTTTAACAGGAAATATAATATACATTTTCTCCAAGAAAAAGTATAGTATGTTCAACATATCTGAATAAAAGACATACGAAAATGTTTTACGTCGGAAAATCTAAATTATAGTGTTGAAAGAAAACGAAATGGCATGACGGAAAATTTGAAAAAAACAAGTGTCAAAAAAATCCCCGAAAATAACATTTTAACATGTGTATCGTATAGAAGTCATCGTATAGAAGTAATCGTATAGAAGTCATCGTATAGAAGTCATCGTATAGAAGTCATCGTATAGAAGTCATCGTATAGAAGTCATCGTATAGAAGTCATCGTATAGAAGTCATCGTATAGAATGCCGGAAACTACATAGTCGTATGATTGTGGATATTAGGGTTGTAATTACAGAGAGAGGGTGGTTATACAGTGTAGTAATCATTAGAGCTTTATTAAATGTGACATAGACCTGCTATACTTGCATAGATTCTAATGACCATGGTAAACAGTTCTCTGATATTTGTCTGATCTTCCCTGAATATCTGTGTCCGTCTCTCTGTAGATGCTCGGTGTCCAGGGGACCAGCCCCAGCCGGCCCGGGGATAACGCCCGTCAGCTGGCCCGCGTGGTCTGTGCCACGGTCCTGGCCGGGGAGCTGTCTCTGATGGCCGCTCTCGCTGCTGGACACCTCGTCAAGAGCCACATGGCCCACAACAGGTCAGATACTTCATTAGTCTTCTTTAAAGGGATAGTGGAAATCCGCGAATTTTGGGTTTAACTTATGTATTTTTATTAAAAATAAGCATAATAAACAATTTGTTTTAATTTCATGCGCCTAGTTTCATTTTATTTTCAATTTTACTGCGCCCTCTCAATGAAACGAAATACGTCGGGAATCTTCGGGTGATGACGAGAGCAAAGGAAGACGGGTACAAACAATGGCGGACATTCAATAGCATTTGCATGTGAATAGCCGACCTTTATTATGGTGAATAGATGTGTTTTGTATGGCTGTAGTGCGACAGCAAATGCAGAGAATGGTGTATCGACGCATGCGTTTCCAAGAAACCCAGCCATTCGTCGTCAGTGGGTGAAATTTGTTCAGATAACACGGGCAAACTTCACGGAGCCGAAGCTGACGAGTAATTCGGCAGTCGTGTGCTCCCGTCATTTTACTGACGATTGTTTCGAGATTCCTCGGTCTCTAGCTCAAATTGAAAGTGGAATACATAAGAAGTGAGTATTTTATTATGTTTTCTTGTTGATTTAATGCATCATTAGCCTGTACCATTTTGTACAACGCCATTTATCCGGTACACAGTGTTGAATGTGTACACTACAGTCATCATATAGACATGATAGACTAACAGTACTGTGAGTACAGCCTACACTTGACAGGCAGCCTGGCTATCCTAGGATGTTGTTTACTTTCTCTTTTCTGGCTGATAGCTCCAGGAATTCGAGGTCGGACAGTGATGACATTACATCTGTGGAGTCTGTGGAGTCTCAGCTTTAAATCGTATATCTTGTCTGTGCAGTTAAGATATTAATAAGGGCATTTCTACCGTGTGTTGTGTGTAAAAAAGCGTTAGCATTAGTTAGCATTGTTTCGCTCAATGCTAATTCAAAGGCTTGGTATTACTCTTGTGTTTTTTGTAGCTAACAATTGTTCTTATTGTCAGTTAGCGGAGTTTCTTACCTTTAAAAGGGTATGAAACATTAATAGTTTCATAAATGTTAAGAAGCCCTGAGACATGTGAGAGAGAAAAAACTGTGGGAGGGGTCCACTGGGGGGACCTTCGGCCTTAACTGGTTAACAATGATTCATATTTGTAAAGGCTACAGGTGATCTTAAGATGCGTGAGCTATGCTTAGGGACCTACCAGTCAAGATTATTTGTGCGTAGGGGTGCATCATCTGGCGCCTGGTCCTGGTCATCCTCGCCATTGCCCATGCCGTGAAACCATCACCTCGGGCTCGGGCTCGAACAAATAAGGACGTAATGGTCCATCGTCTGGCTCAATATTGTCACCATCGTCGCTTACTGAACCGGATTCAGATTCAGTTCCTAAAACGACATTTTCGTAGGAAAGCCGAGAGGATGTTTCTGACTCGCTATCATCACTGGATACCTCGTACAATCCTTCTTCTTTGTCTGGTATATTTGCCCTTCCACGTTCATTCTGCATAGACGCCATGGTTTGTTATCGTATCGTCTTCCTAAGTTTTCGTCACTTCCGGTTTGGCTGAGTCGAACATTTCGTTTCTAAAAAACTTCAGGGAAGCTGCAATAAAGTGCTTCTAACATGCGTAAGGCAATTATTATATTTTTTTAATCAGATGTGATTGTTTTGGTACGTAATTATGCTTGTATATAAGTTAAAGCGAAACTATTTGAGGTTCCATTTCCACTATCCCTTTAAAGTTTGTAACCATCTTCATTTTCTTCATGATTTCTGAAGCCTTCCTATTTTTCTGCTCCCAGATCTAAAACAAACCAGTCAGAAATGCCTTCATCAGAATCAGAAAGCTGCGTGACAAAGAATTCAGAGGGTCCCTCTTCAGAGTCATATTGAAGGAGCGCTCCAGCCAACAGAGGGAAGCTTCACGGTGAAAAGAGAGGATAGAATTGTCTCCTAATGACGTGACTCTGAAAGGAGTGGACATAAAGACTGATACAGGAAACATGCTAACCCCACAGCCAACGTGTGCTTGCTTTGCGTGTCGCACCACTGTGTGCATAAAGACTTTTTCAGGTATTATGTTGAGGTTATTTATTTGTGCCATGTGTCTGCAACTGAGCATTGCAGTGTGTGTGAGTGTGTTGTTACTGATCTTTAAGAAAATTGTGAATTATTGAATGGCTTTGAATTGCTGCCCAATTTATTGAACGCTTTCTGTGCCTCTTTAGAGTCTTAAGGCCAAATTCATTCATACGACGACAAAACTTGCACCTTGATTATTTTATTTATTTGAAATGCAGAATGTGAGATCTTCAAACTGCTATACCATATTTTGGTCTTTGCGTGAGATGATGCCATCACCGCTTTAGGTGACATCTGTTAAATGCCAACTTTCCCCCTGAATGTATGTGTTACTAAAGCAGTGTTCTCTTGCACAACCCTTACGGATTCAGGGTGCTGCTGTGTATTCTGTGGAACGGAAATGGCTGCTAGTTCCGGAGAGGAAAGAGATCACATGGTTTTTCGTCTGTGGGAAAATGATACAGGCATTGTTTCTTTGTGTTAAGACGAAAAGGATGACTGGAAAGATTAAAGCCATATTAACTAATTGAATGGTACACTATTACGTACAGAAGGTGATACTGACAGTGACTGCAGCTCCTGGTTTTGTCCCGTTTGGAAAGCAAGTGCAAACGTGGCCTTACAGTTTGTCTCGGAGAAGCCATAGCATGTTCTAGATAGAATATTCTAAGCTATTTTTTTTTTATTTAATAAATGATTTATATCAAGTTTCCTCTTAATGTCTCTGCTAAAACGGTATAGGTACTTTATACCAACAACAAAAGACTACACACGTATGTTGAAAAAAAATGCATGAACAAATGACTCCAAAAATAAGAAATGGAGGATAAACTTATTTATTTCAGTTTTTCAACAGGGCGGAACGCAACGCTGTCACAGTACATTTGTAAGTTGATCCCACAGCATTAGTATGAACAAATTATTTACAAAAACATATTCCTAATAACATTCATTTTTGATTTAGAAATGTTAAGGTGAAAGCACTTTAGCCTTTCTTCAGCCCAGAGGCTGAGTATCATACGGCTCACTCTCACCCACATCACTGCTAGAAGCTCCAATCAAACGCTCAAAAAGAGACAGAAAAAATAGCAACAAATGTCGAATGAACCCAAAAACAAACATTTTGTGCTGTCCACTGGTGGAAAATAGTACTAAAATATATTCAGGTAGAGCTACCGATGCTTTACTTTGAAATGTTTTACATGGCAAATAACTAAGGAAGTGAAAACCAACTTCCTCTTAAAAGTGTGATGATATTTCCATATCAGTGTCAGTCAAATAAGGAATGATAAGTACACCATTCCAATATTTTTTTTTTATTTAACCAGGAAGGTCTCACAAGCGTAGATCTTTACTGAACTCTGCACCTCCACCTTTGTCTACATTTTTACACATTATACCAAAACCTAACTTGATGATTTCAGTATTTTCTTCAGTAGCAAATGTTGTGACACACCCGAAATGTGGAGGAGACGACGCTGATACGGAACTTACATTTGAAATGTATCTCAAGTAATACTACAACTTGTACAAATATCCTGCAAGCCCTCGGTGGGAAACCCAAATTAAGTGTGCTCTCTTTCATTCAGTACATTTAAATGGACTCCTTGAGGAGATGACTATCAGGGGAACTCGGCCACGAGGCACTTCACTACCGAGTCTCCTTTATCCCGTCTGAAGCTAGATTCTCCTTTTACACCAAGGCATCTGGGCTCAACAACGATGTGACCTTCAGAGAAATGTTGTCTATTTACAATAAACATTCAAAATAGGTGCTATATAACACTACATCATTGTACAATAACACAAATATAAAGCCGAGCAAACAATGTACATTAACTGTTTTTTTTACATTAAATAAATGACAAACTCCTGACGCCTCGTCCCTCCGTCAGCACCACGAGGGGGTGTTTTCATGAGAGGGCCGGGGTCGAAGAGGTCAAGTCTTATATCATAGGGCTCATGGGAAGATGACAGCCCTCTGGACTTAATCAATCAGTGAAGTTTTACTAGCAAAAGTTAGCAGCTCAAAAAGAAAGCTGGGGAATGACTTATGAAATAAATCAACAAAAAATAGGAGCTATAAATTGCAATAAAATATTTCCTTCTATTAGCAAAGATCTGTCCGTTTCTTTTTATAAACTTCTTATAGAACATACATACATTTATATATTAATATATCTGTAAGAAACACGACAAATCCTTTTTCTACAGGAGCATGAACGATGGCATCAGCCGCTGCATAAAAAACTTGAATGGGGAGGCGGGGCCCCCTGCTGGGTGCATTCATCACAGGAGACTACTCTTCAATGAAACTTGAAATGATCTATTCTGAATAACAGCCATTAAGTGATTTGAAGGGGAGACACAAGTAGTAATGTCTCTTGAAATTACAACTTATGATATCACAGCGAGGATTCAGTTGCCTCACGAATATTGTGTTATATGAATGCAGCCACCAGAGGGCAGCATTTTGACCCTTCCTCCCCCTATAGGAACTAACTTGTAGCTTAAAAACTGAGAGGGAGAAAACCACTTTACAAAACGTGTTGGGTAGCAGCAGTCAGTCTGAAGAACCTGGATCCTCAAAGCCTCATACGCGTTTCTGTCCTTTGTCTCAACACTGGAAAGATAAAGAAGTGTCTTGTCATTTTGCAAGCTATGCATAAACGGAGATTGAGATGTGACAGGTGAGTAAATAAAGTGGATGAGTACGCTGCGGTGTTACCTGTGCGCCTCAGAATAAGATGGGTTTGCCAGCAGTCTTCTCCTGGACGTAGGAGGTGAAGCGCTTGAGGAATTTGGGGTACTCCCTCTTAGCCACGGCCCGGAGCACAGAGGCAGGGGCCCAGCCTCCGGGGTTCACTGCACACACACACACACACAGGAGAGAGGTTTAACAGTGGAGCAAGGTTTATCATCATAATATCATGATAAGTCAAAATGGCTTCTTAGAGTTTTCCTTACAAAGTCAACATCGCATATAAAATGTTTTATCAAAATACAGTCACTCGGGTGGATGGTTACAAAATAAAAACAGAACTAGGAGAAGATATTTAAGACTGGTACATTCCAGACTTTAAAATGCCTTTTTGGAAGACACTTTAAAGAGGTTTTCAAGAGCTAAAATCAGATGATCATTAACCTCAACTGAAGCCAAAATACTTGCTAGACAATAGAAAACACACCATTGGCAACGTAAGTGATTTTGCACATGATGTTGTCTCTGCTGATCTCTTTATCTCCCTCTGGTGGGCTGACCAGGGTCTGACAGATCATGCCGATGTTGATTTTGGCACGGACACATTTGTTGGAGGGCTGTAGGACAACAAGGTAGAGAATTAAAACAACATGATTGTCATTTATAATTTCAATAAATATCCTTGCATGGTGTCAGGATCCTAAACTGTATCTGATTGGTTTATGGCTCACCTGAGCATCGTCGTGATCCACAGAGAAGTTGCAGACCAGCCAGGTGTCGGGGTCGTTCTCGTTGTTGGCCATGATCTTCCTCATGGCGGACAGGTACAGCACGTCCCTCTGAGAGGCCGGCCACACACGCTGCAACACACATTTTTATTATTCAGATGCAAGAGATCATATAAAACAATCTTCCTTTCCACTGTTGAGATTTGGTTTGAGATATCGTAGCCCTTACCTTGTGCGTTTGATAAACAATTGCTGCGTTTTCTGACAGATTCTCCACAACATTGAAGTTTTCAATGGTGGCTGCAGAGGGAGAGAAAGTAGGGATGTTTCAGTTTTGTAAAGAATGGTAAGAAAACGTTTGAAAGCAGTTCAGATTGTTAGTGAGAGGACTTACTCTCCCAGTCGTTGCGGTAGGCCGTGTCCCAGAAGTAGTGGCAGACCTCGTGTCCAGTCACCCCCTTCACTGAGTGTGTGGCCTTCAGCGGGTCCAGCACTATCCCGTTCTCTTCCACCTCTCTCCTGTACACCTGAACACACATGACAACATCTAATTAAAGACACATTTCAACATGCGTATACATGTTATATGCTTTGATTAGTGTGCGGCCTAATAATCATTAAACTTACTTGAAACAATATTGTATTAATTTAGCAAAATAATGGATTAATATGATCTACTATGGGATCTAAATTACATTTCCTTCAACTTTATTGTCATTGCACAGATTACAACTAAATGCAGTCTTCATCCAATGAGTAGGATAAGTGCATGAGGTTACAGTCATGCATCATACCTTCATTTCTCCCTCTTCTACAACCAGCTGCCAGTTGGCGTCTCCACCAACATCCTGCAGGGAGTAGGTCATGTGATTCTGCACCATCTCCTCCACCTATAACACAGGGACAGGGGCAGAAGGAGGATGTGAGTGAAAACTTGAACCATGGGAATTGGCATAAACACTGCTAGACAACGTAAAGCAGTAATGAAATACGTCCTCGTTTTTGTAGACGGACCAACATGCCAGAGCTAACACTGGGGGACACAAAGCTTCAATGTACCAGGCAGGACTTTATTTCACTTCGCTGTCACACATCAGACCTGGTGGCACATTGTTTTTAACATTCAAAGTTATTATTTAGGACATATATATATATATATATATATAAAAAATGGGAATTCATATTTCATGCTGGTGTGTTACTGGGGTTTAAGCAGTCATGCAAACATGATGTTTAGTCTAGACAGGTGAAACGGCCTGGACTACGAAGCCGGATTTTCGCTTAGCAGGGAAAACTCGGGGTTTCCGGTCCTACGAAGCTGGTTCTCTTTTTAGCGGGCTAGATCTCCATGGTAACTTATGCTGTGCGGCTAACCTGCTCCGGACCAGGTTAGGTTGCAGGCTAAGAGCTCAACTCAGTGAAAGCACTGCCTGCTGACCAATCAGAGCTCAGTGTGCGGAGTTTAAAGTGATCAAGTCATATTACAGGAGAAAGGAAATACAGAAAAGCTGCAGTCGCAGGAAAGACGGCCGGCAAAAATCACAGACTGTGTGAACGTGAACATTAATAGAATATCACCTCCATCTTCAGAGCAATCTGACTATTATAACATTAGCGTTAAGAAAGCTTACTTAAATATCTGCCACAACATAAGTAACCGGATCAGAGTAACATTAAGTACAGTCCGCGGCACTGAGCGCAGACGTCGATGTGTCCCATTATCATTCATATCACATCATAATGTATCATATGTCTCCTTATCTGAGTCAGCTGAGCCGTATCTGGCCGTGCAACGCTCAGTGTCACATACTGTATGCAGAAGTATTATTTTAAGCAACACATTAAGTTGACGAAACACTCGAGACAAATGTAATTAAAGTCAGATCGTGTTTTAGACGGGGCAGTGATATCATAAACCTGTTAATGTACGCATTCAAACACTTGTTCTGTTACCAGCTGTATTCACCTTGCAGGTGCAGCTCTGTGGCTTTGATCCTGGATAAAGTGTTTAAGTCATGGATGTTTAAAGTTTAACTTCTTCATATTTGTCTAATATTAAAGTTCACTTTTCATTCAGGAAGTATGACGCTGCGCTGTCAGTACGCTTCTCCATGTTTGTGATTGGTCGAATGCTCCAGATACCACCCCTTTCATGTGAACGCGCACCTAACTAGATAGGACACGGCTGGCTTGAGCGATCCACTTGATAACCCGCGTCGTAGGACCGTTTAGCGAGAGCGCGTATGTTTTGGATTAGGCCAACCGGCTAACTCAAACATATCCAGGTTAGGTTGAACCAGCTTCGTAGTACCGGCCTCTGGACAGTTACCTCTGCGCTGAATCTGTGGACCTCGTGAGGGACGCTGACTATGAGAGCGGGGGTGGACTGACTATGAGTCTACAGGGAGGATAAGAGGATGGGGGAGGAGGATAGATCAAATAGATGAGGAAGTGGAAGAGAGAAAAAAAGGATGTGATTTAAAAATGAAAGTGGTGTGTGATGACAAAAAATGGAAATGGCAGAAATGGAAGTGAAGCGATGTGTACAGTTTTAGCTGGTGAAGTATCGGATTACCTTGTTAGCGAATCTGTGTGTGCCGATGGTGGAGTAGACGTCTCCGGGGGGGACGGGGCTGGATCTCTGCATCCTCGTCTTCTCAGTGTGAGACTGGACACAAACAAGCATATTTTAAATCAACAATTTAAGCAAGAAAAGCAAACCGTAGCAGTGATCATTCTTTTATTATATACTGCATCTGGTCCTTAGCGTACCTGTTCCTCTATTTTGTCCTGTCTGTCGAGAGCAGCTTCCACTGCATCGAAGAACTCATCCTCATTGATGAGGCTGTTCGGACCCTCCTGACAAATCAAATGAGAAAATGTTACTTACAAAGTTCTCACTCTTGCCACTGCATGATAAAAGAAAATGTAAACTCTACCTCATAATCTGGACCTCCAAAGTGAGACTTTATCTTCAACTCGTTCAGAGCTGATTTGTAGCCCTCCTCTATTCTTCTGCGCTTCTCCATCTCCTACACACACACACACACACACACAGAGTCATTAATGGAACACAGTATGAAATCATAAAATGACCAGTCAACAGAAGTTAAGAAACATGATACATTTAAATACTGCCAGTTTTCTCTTCTTCAAAAATATTCATCTTGATGCTTAATGTTTATGTTTTGGCCAATGTGACAACCCATGATGCCAGATACAAAGTAAACACATTCAAACACACAAAAAGATGATTATAGGCTGACAAATATATATGTAGGAAATACAGGCTTTAAAAGAAAAAGACAAATAGACGATACAAGGCCAATTGCTACACACCTTATCCAGTCTCTTCTGCCAGCTGTCCTCTCTCTTCACCATGAGGTCGATGCAGTGGGACAGAGTGGCCAGGATCCCAGCTGTGGTGGCTTTGAATGTGATGGCCTCACCCTTAAAGTCTATGCCCTTAGGACTCAAGGCCTGGAACACTGCACAAAGGAGGATCATGGGAATAAAACAAATGCTACTTCAGACAAACACCACATCTGTACAGTGCAGGGTCACATCCCAACATCATATTTTACATTCATTGGCATCACATTTAAAAAAGAAAAATTCTTGCAAACATTGGAATATATTATAACTTGCAGGAACACAACAGTTTTAAAAGGTGCTACTACATATTTTGTCAACTTCTTCTTACGAGAACATATATTTCAAAGCAGTTGTGGTTAGTTTCATCGAACATTTTTTGTATTGTTTTTTTGTCTCAATAAATAATAGATAATGCTCTTTTCCAAACGCCAAGCCTGAGAGTCATGAATATTTAACGTTATAGAATATAACTTGTAGAATTCTGCATTACTCACGCTTTTCTTTGCTGCCGTTGTTATTGTGCAGAAACTCTCCATCTGTCCTGGTGTTGGGGAAGTCATCTTCATCATCCTCCACGACTGGAAAACAGACAAAGATTCAGATAGGGAAGGCAAACGAAAAAACACCAAATAGGTAGCGATACCCAAGCAAGCCTATTCTGGTAGGAGGCTAATGAAAGTAAACCAGCATTACAGCGCATGGGAGCGCCTTGACGCTCATTCACAACTTCAGCTGCAGCACAGAGCTCCGTCAGACTGGCCGAGCTCTGCCTCACCGGACAACATGACAATGGTCTGTTTTCATCTTCAGAATGGAGAGAGGGAGGTGAGGGGAACAAAAGCAGGGCTTCATTCTCTGTGCTCATCCACAGGCGCCCAGTGCAGGCTGCCGTGAGCAAATGTTCAGCCTGCCAACCCGGGGTGAGGGGGTTTGGAGAATAACTGCTGACTGAGTCACAAAACTCAGACACACTCCAAACAAGTCAGTCCAAGTTTCCTCTAATCTTCATATATTTCCATAATATATACATGGAATATTTAAGGCAGAGAGTCACTTAAAAAACACCATTGTCTTGTTAGAACCACGTTTTGTGATCAGTTACCCGGGTACCCTGAATTTGTAAATACTCTTATTTCCACACATAGCTGATTAACCAATGCAAAATCTCTGTGAGGAAATAAACAACGCTTTAACTTACAATCATTTTGATTATATAATATCTATTGATTACTTTCTCGATGTCAATTTATTGTTATGTCTATAACATGCCTGTAACAAAGATGACAATATATTTTGTGTAGTCTTCAAATCGCTTTAACAAAAGAAACACATTAAAAAAAATATATATATATTTATATATATAAGACAAAGAAAAAGCATCAAATCCTCACGTTTGAAAAACTATAATAATAAATACATATTTACCATATTTGCTTGAAATGTCCAAAATAGAGAATTATTTTTCTAATGTTCAACTAATTAATTTATAATTACTACTCCTAAAGACAAACAATAGCATAATCTTCTCTTCTTATATCAAATCACAACATTTGAATATATATATTAATATGAATAATCTGTAAAAGTAGTGGTCTTACTTCTATCCCTCTGCAGCTCGTCCTTGGACACTGCGTCTGAACAGCCATCAAAGTATTTCTGAAGCGTGTCCACCTGTCTGCACAAGATGTCTCTGAATGTCTCCATCTCCGCCAGCTTCTCCTTCAGGCTGTGACCCTTCTTGAGGCAAATAAAGAAACAGCGGTTAGGTATTTGGTTTATATTTCCATGGACCACAATTAAACCATTCCATGCCAAAGACCTCAGCCAGAGTAAACATGGAGCAGTAATCTCACCTTGAAGGAGGATGTGGAGGTGGCGGAGAAGCCGCTGGTGGCCGATGTGAGCGACAGCATGGAGCCATGTCTCCGCAGACTGGACTCAGAGCCATACCCAGAATCAGCCTGTGAAGAAAGCAGAAACAGACATGGGGACACGTTAGCAATGTTGTCACAAAGTAGCCTTATTTTATCAAATTCCTTATAATGATTTATTTAACTGCTGCAACTCAGCTGTGACTTATTAAGCAAACCATGTGACACAAAACAAAAGGTCAACTACAACTAATCCTTCCCTAATCTCTGCTCTAGCTGGTGCTCTGATAATTGTCATCTAGTTACATCTAGTATAGTCATTTAAACATATCAAGGATTAACCTAAACTTTATAAAGTATCTTCTCCTCCTTTGAGGTACAACCTACACTAGTAGTTTCAAATCATGATTATTTTTTAATTGACAGGCATTTCATCCTAATATGAACACAAGTTTGAAAATCCTATTAGAAACTGCAAACAGCTTGGCAGAAATCCCTAAATGTTGTAAGCAAACATTTTGACAGTATTCATTGAGCTCAGCAGCAGCGCAACATGACACGGATTCAGTGACCATGGCAACGCAACTGAAATATCCAACAGGCTTCCTGTAAACCTGCCCGCTTCCCCTCCCTTATATAACAGCCCGGCCTCAAAATAGATGGCTGGTGACAGCAGCACAGAGAGGGAGCGGAGGAGAGGAGGAGCAGAGATGCCTTTCCCTTTAAGACATCATTTCAATTTCTACCACCAGGGGGCAGGACATGTCAATGCACGTGACTATCATTTGAGAGAGCCTGGGGTTACTGTCGGTCAACGGCAGGAATTAACTCAGCCTGTGTTCACAGATTTCAGACAGCACTGCTTGCCCTTTAACCACATTCTGCTGCCCCACTGACTTCATGAGCACAGACTGCACTATCTAACTGTTTGCATGAGGGCTGCGTAATCTGGTTGAGAAAAAGAAAAAAAAGAAGACTGAGGTTTTGTTACAGCTATACTATTAGATTTTTTTTTAAATAAAACTGGATTTAAGTAAACATTCATCCACTGCTCCCGTCAGCATTTTCAACAGTATGTAGGCAACAAAATAACCAACATTTTACCAGTCAAATGCTGTTAAAATATGCATGGGCTAGTGGATTTGCATTACTCACCAGACAGTAAAACAAGGGGAATCTATTGAGTAGCTGGGAACATTTAAAAATACAAGCCATTTGGCCGGTGGAAATAATAAATTGTTATATGACTGAGTAGAAATATTCACACACATGCCTTAACGATGCATGCAATGAGGCAAACGGAGTATCTGAGTGAGTGTTAGTGTGTGTTGAGGTGTCAGGTGATTAAATCCCAAGTGCACTCACCCTACTGACTTTGGATAAAACAAGATATAAAGCCTGGAGCTGATAAAAGAGCTGCCCTGAGTAGAAACACACTTATCTAAGACACAAAGCTCATTTTAAGTGATAAAAAGCCCACATAATAACCATAAAATATGGCCTTACATTTCTGTCGCATTGCACAGTTAAAATACAACAAACATTGTTTTCTTTACTAGAGATAGTATCCTAGAGACAAGTGTTGTTGTAAGACCGTCTCCAACTGTGAGAGTAGTAACTGTGGTGTGTTGTGTCTCCTTGGAGACGCTGGAGTAGTGTTGGTTTCGAAAGAAGAAGCAGGTTTTGGTGGTGACTCATTGTGGGTGGGATGGTGCGAGTGCCTATATGAGTCACAGCGGCTCCCCTGTGCTGGGATGAGTGAGGGGGGGGGGAGAGGGGGATTTCCCAAACTGAGACCAGGAATGAGCACGCGTGTGTTTTGGCAGGCTGAAGGTGTGGTCACTGCCCACTCCTCTTCCCAGTCAGACAGACTCACAGCTCTTTTCAGTTTAAAATAAGTGTTGTTAATGTTGTGAAACCATTTCCCTCTCAGCCTAGGATGAATCCTAACATAAACAATCAACTACCAGATGACACATGGGGTTGTTTTCAACATCAACGCAAGACAGATTTACATATTTGATGGTTGGTTGCCGTTTGTATATAAACATTTTGTAGGCCTTTTTTGTTGTTGCATCTATTGTTTTTCACTCAGCAGTCAACAGTAGGGGTTGCAACCCGCTTCCTTTGTCCTTCACACTTAACTGAATACAATCGGTGCTACACCCTGCACTTCAAGGTTTTTCACAGCTCTGAAAGGTTGTGATTCAGCCCTGGGTAAATTCACATTGTACTGATATTTACCGATACAAACATCAGAGTTAGAAAAGCATTACTGTTTTCACAACTTCCACAGGAATGTCCCCAGAAAATCATTAAAACAGGGCTATCTGTTGACAGCATTCAAACAGGTCTGTTTGAAAAGGGATGATCTAAACCCTGAGTTTATTGTTAGTCCAGGGTTAGGATACATTTCAGCCAAGGGTGCCCTCTGTTAAAAGCCTTAACAAGAGTCATGCACTAATAGAGAACCATCCACCATATAACAGTTCACACAGCATTTATGCTTTTGCAAAAATCTTAGATGGAAGAGAAAGGAGAAACACAGTTGTAACTAAACTGTGATGAGTGGAGCACTCAGTAAGTCCTGCAGACTTGCCAACAAACGCACCAGCGGTGGAGAGATGAATATTGTTCCCTGGATTCCTCCCTTCTCTCTCCTCCCTTCTTTGATACTCTAATAGAAATACACACACACGCATACAATGAACACTCGCATCCACAAACCTTGTATTTTGATACTTTGTGACAAAACGTGACAAAGATTTGGATTATTTTGAACCCAGCAGTTTGTTTTCTGCTGTGTTAATGGGCATGACTTACCCTGTGCAGCTCAACGGAGTCGATCCACTGGTGTCTGTGCTCCGGGTCTGCTGCTCTGAGGTACCAAACACTGTCGTTCACAGTGATGTCCAGCCGGCACTCGTCAAACTCATGAGGCTAAAACAGAAGAAGGACAGAGGACAAAAAGATGAGTCAGTTTACATTGAAAATATGCCGCTGTAAATCCTTTTACTATCAGTATTCTCGACATCTGAAAGTTTGAAGATACTGGAGAATTCTAAGAAATAGGGCCTGCAAACTAGATTTTTGCTTTAGTTCATGTTCTTTCAGCAAGGGGAAACGCACATCTCTTTCCTGCTCAGGAAGAGCAGAGGGAGGCACTCGTGAGAGGTGGCCATCCGTGTAAAGTGTTATTTAAAATGACACTGAAATAGCAAACTGCTGATCTCTCTCCTGTTCGGCAAAAAACAGGAAACATGGCAATCCATTGTCACAGTGATGGGAGTCAAATGTAGTCAATGTAGGCTGATCTATACATCTCAGAGATAAAGGACCGAATAGAGCGTACTATAAGAGTGCAGCAGAGGCACAACAGCCTTTACTTCCAGACACTGTCCCATAGGAGGAGAAGTGGCAGATAACTGGCCTTTTAAGGCAACAAGCAAGATGGAGCATACTCCTAATATCCCTCCGGTGTACCGTCAGCGCTGTGAAACTGCAGCGCTGGCATGGCCATTAACCAAGGACTTTGTGTGTGTGTTTGAGAGTGCAGGGATGGAGGGAGCGGTGGGGACAGCAATGGTGTTTACCTAATGCATTAAGGACAACAGTGAGTCCCAATGCTAAATCCCTCTGAAGGTCTAAGCACAGCTCGCTGATATATGACTGAGAGTCTGGCTCAGAGTAGCTGAGGACACAGCTCGAGAAGCACAAAGACATGGAAAAGACTGAATGAGCAGGAATGCCAGATACTGCGGCTGAACTGTAAGCAAAAAGAGAAATCACTTCAGAGAAGAGACCTCTACATTCCTACGGTGGCCACAATGCAGTAAACACATCTGGGATTCCTTTCATAGTGTATCTGTACCGCACCATAAGTCAAATAATTGCCTCTGCAGGGCCAAGAGTCTGCAATGTTGCAAGAAGCACTCATTTCACCAAAGGGCACTTTAAGTGAAACATAATTAGTGATTGAAATTGACTGGTTTGTTTAATTGATGCATTCATAGATTTTTTTGGGATCAATATTGAAAAATAATATTCTAATAATACTGCATTGATTAATCCTGTCTACCAGCCCTTTTTAGGATCTACAAGATAAAAACGACCTACATGTTATTTTCCCTGATAAAAACAACACAGGCACATTTGATCATTAACCAAAAGCAAGCTTGCAACCTAATATTACCCAGAGACACCCGAGCCCATAACATCACGGAGGATAGTATTACTCCTGGCAGAGTAATAAATGTCCCACTATGGTGTCTTTAAAAAGAGGTTTCAGTGGAGGAGCGGGACTTGGCTCTGTTGCACGACACCTGGACGGCACTGAGGACAAGACCAGATGCTCTGTGTCAATAATGCACGATATGAGGCCGAATGCTGAAACCTTGCCAAACCAGATGCTCATTTGAAAGTAACCAGCGGTATTTGCATACAGTAGCAGAGACAGAGAAGAAGCACAAGCAAGGAAGGAAACAATGTGATGCATCATATACCCTGCATTTGTATGAGGAAGACCAAAGGGCTTTTGGCTGATTGTACAATTGTATTAAAATAAAGTTTGAATACAATATTCTAAAAAAAGAATATAATAAAGTGTCCCTTGCTGCACTACACTAATATCATGCGAGATGAAAGAGTGCTGGAGTGTTACTGCACACAATTTGCAAATGTTGAGTTGGTCAATGGGCTTGTTGTGTCATTTGGTTGCTAGGGAAGTGGGAAAATGTGTTCCTCATGATCACCTCCGGACGGCAGGGTCATGGGTATACTGACTGGAAGGCCTGTTTGAGAAATGAAAGCCTGCACTGGGTCGAAGAAGGTTACTGGGATCCAAGGCTACGGTCAACAATACTCCATCATAGTAATGACATTTTCGCAGCCTTGCACATCACAAGATGACATGCTGATATCAACCCGGGCCCGGTGTGAAAGAGCAAAAGAGAATAAATGAACTGTATGGAGTGTCTTGTGAATCCTTGTGTTGAACCAGATAATCAAATTGTGATGTAAATCTAGGTCAATAAGAATGATGGACCGTTTCTGCTGAATTTCTTTCCAACAGGCCTGACAGGCAGGTATAAAGAAACAGATGGAAGGATGTTTTAGATGTGCTTGCAGCAAATCAATATCTTGATTATTTTGAATGGGAAAGGGGAAAAGCGAATACCGATGCAGTAATTATTTATTGTTCCATGAAGGCTTTGTGCCACAATGTTACTGACAATGATTTGTTTTAAACTATTTGGTACAAAAAGTAGACTATGGACAAAAATACATTTATTTTTTCAGCAACACTGTTTAGGCGCAGCATCCATGTGATGCTTAGGAGACAATATGTTGATCACACAAAGGTCTTGCCCACAAGCCTTTTATTATACAAGCCAGGAACATCTTTATGTTCACGCCGGACATTAAAACGAGATCCCATTGGCCTAGTGCAGGAAACACTGACTCACCAAGAGCTCAGAGTGCAAGAGGAAAGGAAAGGCTAAATAAACAAGGTCTGTCGTGCCCAAGTCTGTGTGTGCATATGTGTATTAGGTTTTTACCCTAGACATGACCCCCGATGAAGAGGAAGTCACATGCTATGAGGAAATCGTATTTCCTGGCCAAAGACAGCACAAGCCTGACGTCAGTCCCAACGCTCAATTCAACCAACTTGACCGTAGGTCTATTTTCCCATCTCTTTGTGACAGATACGGAGAGGAAAACGACAAATCATTGCATCCAGTGACACGGCCTTGAAGAACTCCAAACAATCCTGCACCAAATTAAAGCTAAATGTGGAATTACAACTTGGATAGTGCGTTCTTTTTAACCATAGATCTACAAATGCCAATGGTGGTAAGCAGCCTTCGATAAGAACAGTCTTGTGGAGGCCCATTTGATCCAATAGACAACCCATACGCACCAACCTGGAATAGCATGACTAGATAGTACATGTTGAAGTCAACTGTCAACACAGAGTTTGATGGTTTTACTTGTTTGCTAATGAATGTAGAGAACGGTTCACATTAGACAATGCGTCAACTGTTTTTAAAGTGAGTAAGCGTACGTTTCGATTGAGGATATTGTTGATATGCTGGTTACACACCAGATATGATCGTTGCAACACAAAATGGCATTCAATTAAATGTTATCAAGTTCCCTAGTCGTGGAGGTGGTTCAACAGACAAAGAGGATGCATATGACCTACCTACTATGTCGTGTACGAACAGGTGATGACACAATGCAACCCAACCTAGCAGCTCTGCAAGTCATCTTTCCTCATAGTTGATAATGTGTCAAACAGATATTTCCAGTTTGTTGAAATTTGAGGCCAAAGTTTAAAGTATGGGACGATTACATTGATGTTATTATAAGCTGTGCTGTAGCTTAGCTATTGTGTTTCCAGCCTACTAACAAGCTGGGTTAAGCTGGGAATGATGGAAACCTGACATTACATTTCCGGCACTAGATCAGTCAAAGACAACATAAAGGATCTTGTCAATTTGCTCTTTTGAGAAATGCTTCCGAGCACTTGCTCTGATTGTTTTGCAATGAAGATGTCCCAACTTCTATTACAGGTCTACCTGGGTTTCTTAACGTTAGTGTCCTGACTGGAATGAGTAAATGACTCATAGTGCAACTTAAACCACAGACTTGCCTCTGAACTTAATACTGATGCGCACCACATGCACAGTGATGATGATCAACCCACAATATATTAGTCGATTGACAAAAAAAATGTATCCGCAAATATTTGGATCATCTTTGACTGGTTACAGCTTCCCAAACTTGAGAATTTCTTCATTTTTTGTAATAAATACATCATAATAAAGTGCATTAGTATGGACAGTTCAGATCCGAAGATGTGAACCGCCCCAAATATCGACAGGCATTTAACCATTTCCCCTATTGTTTTATGCAAAGTGATTTATTGATGAAAATGGAATTAAGTTGCAGCTCTAAAGCACACAGTATAATCAGAAGTGAATCTTCTTTGGGAGCTTTTGTGGAACATATTGTACCCCTGCGTTATTGTGAGTGCCATGAGGGGAGATTACAGGAAAGAACAGTCAAAGAGAGTAATAGACTTTCTGTTCTGTGCATGGCCACCACCAGCTATAGCTTTTTCATATTTACTCCCCAGAGTTTTGAGGCATATTTCCATCGGAATGAGAAATTACAACAGTAGCGTCACATGGAGGTTAATATTTACACAGGCTGGGAATGGATGAAGCTGAACAAATACAGTTCATAGCAAAGCCTGCTTTCTGCTGCCTGGGAACAGTAACTTATTCATTTCCCTTGTTACTGTTATAGAGACACAGACGGGGTTACGTCAATGACTGACCTGGGTTCCCACTGAAACATGATGGAGACAATGTGAACATCCAGCGTTATAAACTGTTGACACATTTAGATGTATTTTCCCTATGAGCATAGATAGTGTGGCAGCCTCTTTCCTAATCTCTTAGGCAGGATAATATTACATGTCTGACAGAAATGGGAGTCTCTGCTTCAACATATTGGAAGCTAAATCTATCACAGCTCCACTTTCTTGGTCTATCCTATGCAGTGACACAGCAATACTCAGTCTCATGATGAAGTTCTCAATAAAGCGTTACCGCACACTGTAGCATGTTTTTTCAAAACTACAACAGTCACCTGATAGGCAGAGCAGAACTTGGGACCTATTCAGGAGTTCAATGCGAAAATACGTTGTCACCTGCAGTTGAAGAAGACGTTTGAGAAACTCAAGTGTAAAGGTCCTCATCTGATTAGAATCGTCTACAGCGAGTCAAGCCTTAGGCCTGCACATTGATCCAGGAAAGAGCCAGAGTCCTTCCCTCATGAATTTAATAGAAACATCTGTATCACATCTAATGCATCATATATCAAACTTCCCAAAAACCCTGTAGAGGATCAGAAAGAAAAGATGGAGGCGGGTAATACACCCATGGAAGGAGAAACAGAAAGGTGTTTGATCTTTAGATTGGAGACATTTCCATAAAGAAGTATTGAAACGGTTTTTGTTCCTGCTTCTTCTTAGTTGCTTCAACAAGCAAGTCTTACAAAATGTATTGTGCAACACCCAACTAAAACGTTTATGAGAAGAAAAACATGTTTTTCTTATGAGTTGGAACAAAGCATGTAATGTGTGAAAAAGGTGAAACTCTGTGAATTGTATACAGCGGGTTAGTTGCCGAGCAGACAAACAGACAAAGGTGATGCCTCTGCCAACTTTCATGCAGATAAAAAAGCTTGTGTAAGCACAGACAGTCAAGATAGAGTGAGCTAATGGCACAGCACACTATTCTTGAGCTGATTTTTAATAATTAAATCCTATTTCCTCAACTTGCTGACCTGATTGTTAAAAGCTTTACAAAGCATCGTCAACCTGAATACAAAATAATTGAGCCAATGACAACGATAAGCTGTATAGTAGTTGTCTCGCTGTAATATGGAGGATATTATAGACAACTACTATAAGGATAAGGTCAAGTGACTCCAGAGAAAGCTGTCCTTTTTAGTGTCAGCTGTCAGTTACTACTATCCAATCAAAAGCAACAATGCAGACCATTTGTTGTGGTGGAAATATTTCCACTGTGGTTATCACAACAACACTACTGATTGCCTTAACACCACACCGCCTGGCTGTAAGGCTTTTTTTTTTCATGGGAGCTAAAACTAGAGCAACACAGTACACAGAAAATCAGCAGAGGCTGTAGGTGAAGTGACACAAAGGGTAGTTTGTCACCAAATTTGCAATTTAAATAAACATCCACAGAGCATCCTCTCAGGTCTTGAATAGCAGAGGATGCTTGCCTCAGTAGGATGCGTGCCACAGACGATTTGACTGTTTGGCGGCTTAATAGCGAGAGTGATGGTTCCTCTCTCTATTACCAAATGTAACTCTTGAAAATGAAAGCGTAAATTCGTGTATGACATATTGAAAGGGCCAGTATTGCACAAACGAAAGGCTGCTTTGAGGAACACAGAACTTATGTCAAATTCATTTTAATAAGAAGTGTGCTGTTTGGTGAAAAAGAAACTCAAGGGTACTTACAGTAATCACAGCTTTGCTAAGGCAGAGGGAACCCCGACAGCCATACTCAGTCTCATCCTGGGACTTGTAGTAGCTCAGTGTGTTGTTTTTCAGGACCACCCAACGGTCCTGCCAACCATGGATGTAATTTGTCCACTGGAAAAGAAAGCCCTTTAATCAATGTCTTAAAAAATATATACAAACATTAGCTGAAATATACATACATTAGCTCATAGATATACATACGATATATATATATATATATATATATATATATATATTAGGGCCGTCAGTCGATTAAAATATTTAATCGCATGATTGTCCATAGTTAGTCGCGATTAATCGCACATTTTTTATCTGTTCCTAAATGTACCTTAGAGGAATATTTTGTAATACTCTTATCAACATATGAGTGGACAAATATGCTTTATGCTAATGTTTATTATCATTTGAACAATGACAAATATTCTCATGAATATTAAACACAACAACCTCTGAACATTACAAATATTCGCCTCAATTCAACCTGGAACCTCTCTCAATACAATACAATACAAATGGTGTGTGTGTGTGTGTGTGTGTGTGTGTGTGTGTGTGTGTGTGTGTGTGTTGGAGCTATGTGCAACTCAAGGCATATGCTCGAACGGGAGCTGCCTGGACGCTGCAATCATGTTGCGCACTATCCGTGCTGAGTGTGCTGACTTTTCGTACAATGTCCCACTGTCTGGCTTCCTGCATAAAGTCAAGTGCTCGGCGCAGTTGTGGCGAAATGTCGCTCCTCTGTTTTCATTTCAACAGCTCCATATCCGTTAGCGCAGCTAGCTAGCACCAGATGCTAACAACAACAATGCACGTAAGGTCTCTCTCTCGCTCGCTCGGGTCACACATACACACACCCTCCCGGTCCTCCCAACAGCCAGTCGGTGCCTGCCGGTGAGCGTGGAAGTGTGGTCTGCCAGAAGTGGGCGGCAGGAGCGGGGCTGTCAGCATCAGCTTGTAGATGGTATTTTAAACTCGATGCGCTCTGAAACTACGGGGCGGCCGAGGACAAAAAATACACATGCGTTAATCGCGTTAAAATAATTAGTGGCGTTAACTTTTTTTTTTGCGTTAACGCATTATTAACGCGTTAACTTGACAGCCCATATATATATATATATATATATATATATTACATTACAAATATCAGTTAAAAATCTAAAAAATAACTTTGTGTTATTGCACTTCTCAGAAGACCTATTTATGAGATATGACACGTAGGATTTGAGGATGTATGATGTGTGCAGGGCTTGGTATAATTAAAAAGGTGAGCTTTACTGGATGCAGATCTGCTTAATCTCCCAATATGCTTGGTTAGCGGGTCAGCATGCAATCTGTTTAGAGCCAACCAGTGTACAGTGACATTAATACCACATTAGCTTGCGAGCAGCTTAACTCATTAAGACTGTGTTCATTTTGGCCAAAACAAGGTCTTGCACAAGTGAGAAGAAACATATGGCCAAATAGGTTAACAAGATTTGTCTAGCAGGAGACTTAACTGTCTGTTTACCCAAGAAAAACAGGATTGATGAACAAGAGCTGGTAGTGTTTGTGTTTTTACAGACGAGTGCCAGAAACCCAGCAAAAGTTTTCCTGTACCTTGCATATAGCTGTCAAAGCAATATTTACACTGAACATGTGCACATAACACGTACACATGTTGATAGTAGTAGAAAAAGCATTGAAATATTCAGCAGGCTTTATGCTGTCAAAGTACATTAGGGGAAAATACAAGCTGTCCTAATTATCTATAGTGGTGACATCATTGTGCAAACATGGCTACAGCTTACCGTGATCACCATTCACTTGAATATAACTGGTGCACAGCAGCTGTCAAATTAATATAACAGGTATACAATGTTACATGTACAAAACTGGAATAATCTATCAACTTTTACCTACACTCATTACAACAGTAAGTGAGTCTATCTTAGAGGCATCTATGAGCTAATGTAGCTAGCTGCTGCATTAAAAACCCTGCTGTTCAATTACAAAAGGCGGCTTTCCTTTTGCCTCAGTTGGGATTACCGGTGTAATATTGCTGAGCAGCAATGTGGAAATGTTGACAGGGAGAAAATGATTCTGGGTAACCCCAACAACACTCAAAATAGACATTCTGTGATTTGTCGTAAAGCATTCCCATTATCACTTCATTTAACCCTGACATTCAGACACCTCCCTGACAGTTAAACCCTCAGGACTTGGCAGTGACACTGATCAAGCTAACAACATTCAGGTTAGCCCAAAAACAATTACTTACCTTTAGTTGTGTAAAGTAACTAAGTAAATGTACTCAAGTACTGTACTTAAGTACAATTTTGAGGTACAGTTACTTAACTTGAGAAGGTAAATGTTTTTGCTACCGTGTACTTTTACCCCACTACTACATTCATTTAGTACCTTTAGTTACTTTGAAGATTTTGATAAATTATTTGAAATATTATAAATCAACATTTACAAATTAGACTTAAGTTACACCTGGAGTAACATTCACAATATACCTTGCAGTATACAAAGTAAAATTAGGTGCACCTTTTACTTGAGTAACATATGGATTGCATGACTTTTACTTTCCTACACTGTGGTACTTCTACTTTTACTTAAGTACAAGATCTGTGTACTTCTCCCACCTCTGCCCTCAGGACTTGGCAGTGACACTGATGAAGCTTACTAAACCAAAAAAGCATGACCCACCTTACTGAGGACTCCGCTTAAATCGACAATCCCAATCAGATGTCCAGACTCATCTCTGGGCTCCACGTCTTCCTCGGAACCGGAGGAGTTCCAGCTCTGGTTGTCTGACATGTTCTCGATGCTATTCAGCTAGTATAAACCGATACTAACTTGGCATATATGATGCTCAGGTGAGTTTAAGCTGACAGGACCTGAGTGAATAAGCGGCAACAGTTCAACAAATCATGTTTTGGTATTATACACCGACTAGTAGCTCTGAGGTTAGCCCAAATATAAGAAGCTAGGTAGCAGCCACTGAGTAGATAAACGACGGTAAGGTAAGCTACACAGATCGACTCATGTTGTGGTTAAACAGGTAGCTAAGCAGTGTCTGTAACGGTAGCTTAACGTCGAGTTAAGTGTCAGAAAAGGATAAATGTGCTCTGGCTAGCTTCAGCAGTCAAGCAGGTAATCCGTATCTGACTTTCAGAGAGACGGTGCGGCAGTAGCAGCGGTTGTTGTTGTTGGTGCTTCTTCCCTCTGTTGACTGTTGACAGCTCTCCCGTTCAGCGCCATGTTTCAACTGACGTCTCGAGCTTCTTCTCGGTGGTTTAGCCCCTAGCGCGTGTTCCAACTTGTGTGGTGCGCAGGGGCGCTTGCCTCGGTGACGTCACCAAACACCCCTCCTTAACTGGACGCAGGCCCCGCCCCCTCCTCCAGTTTACATGACTGAAAATAGACTGAGGAGCACAGGAAAATAGACCAGAGTGAATTATGCTCCAGATTCATGTTGGTGTTCAACTATTTTTGCACTTTTCAATAATATATATCTCTATCTCTCTATATAAATGCACAGCACTCCACAATAAAATAGTATAATTGCAGTTTGTCATATTTCAATGTACTTAGTTCTTTATATATTTATATTTGGTGTAAATATTTGTTTAATTATCAACAAGGCCTGGGACCCACACTGACTTTTACCCCTTCCATAGACATTATGTAGACATCTCCGCTGAACACTAACATATTATTAACATTTTAAACTGTATACCCCGGTTATCTAGGCCCTTTTTGTTTTTTTGTTGTTGTTTGATGTATATATGTCACACTGTAGGACCTCGAGAAACGATATTTCGATATTTCTGGATGTACATGTAGAATTCTTGACAATAAAGCTGACTTTGACTTTGGACTTATAATACAGATGCAGTACAATTACTCGATTAAGTATAATTTTGAGGTACTTGGACTTTACACAAGTATTATTATTATATTTGTATGCTGTTTTATACTTCTACTAACTACACTACAGAGGCAAACATTGCATTTTTTTAATCAAATACATCATTGTCACTGGTTACTTTTTACATGTAAAAACAAATGATGCAGTACCATGGCCTGCCCTACTGCCTATCTTCACAATAGTATTCGAAAGTACCATAACTCCAGATTGATTGAGTGTGTATCCAAAAAAATAAGCAATACTCAAATTAATAAAAAAACCTCAACACATTTTCTCCTTTCAAAAATAATGTTCTTAGCCTTAAACCCTTTCACCCTCTTCAGTGTTATCAAGTGTTCAACGCTCAAAAGGTCAGCTAATCTGCTTCACCAAGATAGTGTCAGTGAGGTGTGATTACGTTTTACTGACACTGTTCATTTGGCAACACATATTGATTATACTGTAGGTGCTGAACTAAACATAGGGAAGGACAGTTCGGTCCTGCAAGTGACTTCAAATCAGTGAAGAAAGCAAAGACAATAAACCTAAATACGAAAAAACGCTTATGTGAAGTAACTGAATAAACTGTCCGAAAGTGTTGTCTTCAGATATGGCTATATTTAGAATCAGCTGATTGAGAAAATGTTTTTTCAGCACCTTTAAAAGCTGTATATTCTGGGAAGAAACAGTTTATGCACCTTTGCACTAAAGAAAATGTAACTGTACTGCAGTCGTTAACAAATCATACCTTTTTCCTACACTGGGGGGAATAATTTCTGTCAATTAAATCATGATGAAATTAAGCACCTCCTTTTCATAATAAGGGCCACCTGAGCCCAAGAAGAACCCCTGAGAGTTTCAGATTCACTTTACCAACCAGCGAGGACCGTAGTCAGGATCAGCACTTAGTGTAGAAATCTATGAGGTCTGTCCACAGGAACATTAGCAAATGAATGTGAGGTCAAACATATTATCCACTGAATAATGTATATATGTATCCATGTTTTCATGGGTTTGTTGATCGTTGCTAATATCATGGGCTTTTAACCAGCCTGCACTCATAAATCAGAACATGTTGCTTGATTGCTTGCAAACAGTACAAACGTGTGCTGGTTTTCTTCAACAATTGTCTTCTCTGTTTGTTATGAGTGAAATTCATTCATAACGTTTTTCCCTCTCTCAACCTTCTTTCCATCCTTGACATAAGCCTGTAGGCCTATACTTATCTGAGAGTCATGTGATAATCCTTGTACGATTTAGCACATACACCCTTCTCATAACACAATCACACTCACCCTGTCTCCTGATATTCAAACACCCGTGTTTCAGTCAGTAACCGGCCAGGAGAGGAGAGCTTTTAGACATGTCATGGGTTTTGTGAGTGTGATGCACTTCCATGAAATCATGAGACCTGCAACTGAAGAAACCACAAGACTTCCATTAGCTCCACAGTCCAACTCTTCTCTTCCAAGGAAAAGTGAGAGGTTTCAGTAAAAGTAACATGTTTTTGAATGCTGAACTCACTTACCATAACTTTACTTGATAGAAAATGAACACAAGAAATGTGTTAGTGGTCTCTGTAAATCGGACATGAGAGAACACTAAAAGTGGTTAAGAAAACAAGACTAGGCCTTAATCCTTCATACTAAAATCACCCACAGCCTCCCCTTTACTGCACATTTAATCTAAAAACAACCTGACAACATGGTGGTACACCCTGGGGAAGGCTGTGGAAATAACTGGTTGTTTGACTAGATCAGATTTAAACAGGTGATTCAATCATGGTGTCATAGAAACAGTCCGTTACCTAGTGAACTCTGATTCATTTAGAAGCCAGGAACCAAGGATCATGACTCAGGCAGGGCTGATCAAGCAGTAATGTGATTAAATCACATCCTCTTTCCAGCTGCATTATTCCATAAGGGTCAGAAGCTCCAAGAAGGCAGAGTGGAAAGAAGCAGCTTGATTAATTATTTTACTCAACATTAATGTCAAACACTTCCTCATGGACATGAGTATTACAACAGAGTAAACTTAGATAAAGTTGTTGCTATGTTAATAACCTGACAACCACTGATTTAGAGGCTTGGTTGCACTTACAGTTTATATAAGTCTCAGAGTGGTGAGTATTTCAAAAGATATGTATGAGTAACAGGCTATTTTACACCAGCTGCATGTGGACGTGACTGCTGAGCAGGAGGACCGTCTCAGGAAAAATCTTGTGTAAGAAACCCTCAGGAAATGTTGGACCAGCCTTCTTAACTTGCTGAGCCCTCTGCTGGTGGCCCCTGCTGTTAAATGCATGCTGTAGACAATAATAAAGTTGTGTGTTAGTGTGTGTGTGTGTGATAGAGTGGCTTTATCTCATCAAGCTGCGGCAGCTGTGACACTAATCCTGAAACCACAACATCCTTTACTAGACAACTTGGAAACAGTTGCCAGGAAACCAGGAGGAAGTGCTAAAGTTGTTTGCAGGCAGCATGTGCACGAGTGTGGCTTAATTAAACGGCAGAAAATGCCACCCAGTTAATTAGAAAAATGTATGCATTTGATATATGTTCACTGAAAGTCAATATACTTATTAAAATCGTTAATAATAATAATAGTTATTAAAGTATTAAAGTAAGTATATATAATAATGTCCATACAAATAATATTAGCGACAATAGCAAAAATACATGTATTCATATCGTACTGAAAATGTTTTGCAATAAAAATAAATAAAAAACATAACAATCATAAGATAGAGGAGCAGCGCCCTCTGCTGGCTGATGCTAGTACATACAGCATCATCATTAAGCTGCTGCAATAAAAAAGTCTTAAGAATACTTTCAGCCACTTTATACAAAAAGCATAAGCCCCAAAGGTATTTATGAAGTATATCTTTGAGCGCTTAAAGGTGAGAATGGAGAGACAACGTGTTTAAAGTTTCAGCCACATGGACTGGTGTGGACTCATGCCTTACTATATACTCTATTTTCTCTGCTTTCGTCTCAGAACAGATGGGAAATGTCTGCCTTAAGCTGCTCCACTTCAGCAACAAAATAAGAGACCTAATGAATTTATTTTAAAAAGTCATGGTACATCTTCTCATTAACTCAGATTAGCAGTAAATTAATCAGTGTTGCTATAGTTTCTTCTTTTAAATAACCTTGTATATTCACTTGTGCTAGACTCCAATTATATGAACCCTTACCTCCAGTAATCCTTGATAAGAAAATGTGTATGAACCAGCAACCTCGGTGTATTGGTTTTGTGTAAAAAATACTTGCTTATAGGTTTATAGACAGTTTGAAAGAGTTGTCTAATGAATTAGAAGGACATGATACACTGCCTGCTATTGCTACTTCAAATAGGAAATGGGAGTAACTACATGAGAAACGTCATACTCTACTAGAATCAGCTCAAGTTACAGGTGTATACTAACTACAAAACCCCTCTGTTTCCAGTGTGACCAACAGGAGGCAGTGTTGTGTTGAGGTTCAGTAGAATTTATTTCCTTTCCCTCTCGTTTTTACATTTGTTTAACTTGTTGACACTTTGAAGAAGAAATGCAAAAACACAAAACTGTATTTTGCTATAACAAATGCATGTTTACACAGCAGGTCATATTTATATTTTTCATACTTGCAGTAATATGCTTGTTGCGTTCAATTGAAAGGTCCTGGAAGGCTATAGAATCACACCCAGCCAATGTTTTGTTATCGCATAAAGAAAAACAGCCAGCACAATATGAATCATGCAGTTCGTACAGTATATCTTAATGATCTTTGAGATGCTAATTTGGTGTTTCTACATATTTAATGTGTAAATGTGTTAAAGGAGTTGTGTAGAATAGTCTTAATATTGTGTCTTAATATAAATATAGTAAATGACTGCATACCATAGTAATTATAATCAATACAATACATTTATTATTATTATCATTATTATTATTATTATTATTACAACACTCAAAATCTGAGATGGCAAAGTGCTGATGGTGTACGTTCTGAAATGGGTTTCTGACTGTAGTTCAGCATCAATGTATGGCAATCATTGTAATGCTGAAAACGATATTATATTTTGCAAATCTAGGCAACAAAAGTTCAATCTCTCCTTATGCAAACATAACACAGTAATAACTATCTCTGTTTATTAAAACCTTTCAAGAACATATTAAAGTCTCTGCATAGTGAGTATCCTGTCTGGGTGAAGCAGTAGGGAGTGGGAGGGAGGGAAATGTGTGTCAATGTGTGTGTGTCCATGTGGGTGTGTGTCCATGTGGGTCCTCTCCTCCCTCCATCCCTGCTTTAAACACAACAGAGCAGAACAGCAGCCTGAAATACAGCTCATTTGTCAGTGACACAGGAATGCTTTGACCTTCCCAAGACAAGCCGGCTTTGCCGACTCAGCGGTTTCTCTTTCTAGCCGAATTACAGTCGTCATCCGCATGAGTGAGAATGGCTCCCCTCATACACAACAAGTTGTATTACAATCACCACCTGAGGCAAAGTAGGAGGATAATAATACTTTCTAAAAATATAGGCGGTAGGTAAAGGTTCAGACTGTTCACTAACAACCACAAAACAGGACAAAGGTGAAAGTGATAACATCCACAGTTTAGAGTGTCCAGGGTGGCTTTAACAGAAGGGCCCAGTTTTTTTCAGAACAGTTAACCTGAACGGTTAGTAGTAAAGCCACTGGACCATTTTTTTATGATCAGAAAAGGCTTCAGTTATTCTTTAGATGAGAAGATAGTCTGTTTTTGCTACAAAGACTCCAGAACACACACATAATAGAGTAATGTTAAGTTAAATTAATGTTTATTGAGCGAATACAGGAAGAGCTTTCCTTAAGACAATGTGAATGGACACCTCGTTTTGAAATAATGGACCAATAATGGACCATGATGAAATGAAAATGAAGAAAAATGTTTCGTGATTTTCTTGATAAAGAAGTGTACTTGATTTCAAGCACTGTGACTTCTGGCAATTGTATTTGTACTTAGTTTTATACATTCCCATAGTACTGGCATGCTTGCTGGCAGCATGAGAGCCAGAATGATGGCTGTGTAATAAAAAATCACTTTCAACCTCTATTTAAAATACCTACGCTATTAAACAGAACTATGAATAAACAACCAGCAGGCTACACTGCTGCACTGTCCTCCGATATGATATTCCAACTTTTTCTGTGTTTTTCATGGTTTATTTAATTTGTATCCTTGAGTCACTGTGCTGCCATGTCCACTAGACCTTTTCTGACCCACAGCTACTTCACCCTACAACTGATATAATCATTGCTTATGGTATTACAATACTTTTTTTGTAACAATTGCTTGTTATCTGCTTTTGTACCTTTCTTCTAACTCTATATTTTCAAACACATTACTCAAAAATAGATGGCCAAATGCCCAAACTTAGTAATACATTAGAGTCCTAGATACACTAGAGATATTTTAAGAAAAAAATCCCCAGCATTTTCACGTTTCCTTTAAAACTTTTATTTAAAAATGTGGTTTGCTAATTGGTCGGATGAAAACCTTCTTAAGGTGTCATCATTTTAAATACATTTAACTTTTATAAAGTAATGTTGACAAAATCATCCCTTTCAACTAGTGGGAGGATATATCCCCAGCACATGATACCTATATCCATTACTCTAAATCTCTATTGGAATGAATGAGATGCTACTTTTGTCTTCTCTCCATGCTCTGCAGTAACTGGGGGTCTGGCTGATTGTGCTGGGCTGCAGTGCTCTGGAAGAACATTACCTGAACACTAACTGCAGCCAAAGGAGCGCTGATGGATACGACACACCAGTGTACAAACTAATATGGGAAAGAAGCGTCCCCTCCTGCTTGGAGGTAATTAAGAGAGGGATTCATTCAATAGCTTTAACCTGTCAGCTCAATCCAGACGAAAATGCTGAGCCATGGATATACTGCATCCTCCGGATTCACCAGCCGAGGGATTCCCAGCTGTGACTCATCCGATGGTTTATTGTTGTGTGAAACATGTGGGAGTGGGAGGAACATCTTTGATTCCCTTCACTGATCATCCGCCTTTGTGTAATGCAAATCAGTTCTGATCAATGTCAGGGAAAAGATGAAAGACATCTTACAATATTTCCACTTCATACATGTTTCTGCTATCTTCCACTTGTTTATCTGTGCAATTCATATCTTGCACAATATGTTCTTACCATATGCTCTGAATTGTATCTTCCTTGGCTTTGTTCTTGTCACTACAGTTTCTGCAGCACTTCAACTCTCAGTAGAACATTTTTCTTAAGGCATTTCATTTGTCAAACATCTTCAATAGCAGCAAGTAGTCCCTTCTTTCTAAAAAACTCTTTTCAAAGAGTTGATGGATCTGATAAGATATATGCCAGAATTTTGAAATCAAATGCATTTTAGAAAAAGAAGAAGACTTGGGATGATGTTGCGTTGGCTGTTGAAGGACATTTTAAATACAGCCTTTTTGGGGTAATGTGCATTGACTAGTGGACCATGTAGAAAAACACTCCTGGTCTGAACAGCCAGCTGCTACTTGTGCACATAGATCACGTATCTATTCCATTTCTTGCCAGAACACACTCTTCAGCATTTAAGGACACCTCCTGCTCGTTGCCTTTGGGGAACTTTCTAACTATCCCGGTGACCTCTGCCAGCTTTTCATTGGAGTAGAAATAATGTCTTTTTGAGAACAGGATGAAATAATAAAAAGGAGAAGAGAATGTGTCTATCAGT